ACATAAATATAAATTCTCGGATATACAACGCGGTTTATTTTTGTAAAAAAACTACATACTCCCGACGTTTCGGCTACTTTTCAACAACCCTGATTTATTCTAAAAGCCCGTACCTCTCATTGCTAATTTAATTGGCCTACATAATCCTAATTGGACTGTCAGTATTTGTCCGAGAAATTAAGTTCAGTAAAGAAATATTCATTGGGGTATTTACTTAACTACCACGTTTTCTTCCTATTAAGAATGTATTAACAATAAACACGCAACACACGCACGTATTCAATTTGTGTATAATTGAATTATTTCAATGAAAACTCCTGTTTCTTAGTAAAAATCCCACAAAATAATCTAATATTATTTGAAGAACTAAACAAAGGGGGTTGTAACGATACTTACGATTACATAATGTAATATCAAAAAATCCTACAGTAAATAAGTTTTAAATTTCATACATGCTGTATGTAATGTAACAATATTAGGTTATAAATGCAGATACTTTTTGCTATCTCTGTTTCACTGAACGACGAATTTAATTTTATTTACGGATCTCATAATTCAATTATGTTTCAGGTACATTCTGGAAGCTCGGGCCGTTTAAAAAGGTATGATTGAAATTGAAAAGCGATACGCTGATTACAATTACACAAATAAAAAGTTGCTTCCATTATGTAAAACCCTTCTCATTAATCAGAAATGAAAGTAGGTTTATTAATATTTGAACACGTTTCTCGAACTCATTATACTATGCAGGTGAAGGTTGAACTTAATATAAAATGAACCTTAAAATATTTATCAAAATGGATTTGAGTTCGTGTGTAAAATTTTTAATTCATGGAAGGTCGGAATACAAAGCCGTGTTACGTATTCATGTGAGCAGATTCTCTTTACCGGGCTGTTTTTAAAACGTTCCCGATAGATTTCCGACGTCAAATATTTTCTTATAATCAGAAAAAAAAAATAGTTCTCGACTCAGTTCTATAAAATCAAATAGATGAATACATCAAGTATACTTATTTATAAGGAATAGTATACAAGGAATATTGTATTAAATAAACTGCTTAAGTTATTTCAAAAGAGAAAAGCAAATAATAGACTGAAAAGTCATTCAATGAATTCCAGATTTCTTCATCCTTCAGAAACCTTTTCCGTCTTCAATATTTCAGAATTAAAATATGCAGTTATCGAACGTGTCATATCTGAAAAGATCAGGGCTTAGTGAGTTTACTAGTGGACTCTTAAGTTTTGATTGCATTTCAAGATTCTAAGCGTTTGACTGGAAAAAAAATAGTTAGGTAGTACAACAAATTAAGAAGGTTTTATGATAGATTTACCTAAACGGTGAATCCTTTCAGTATTTATATATATCTTATGTTTTTGAAAATAATTATAAATAAGAATAGTAAATTATATACTAAATTAGAACATACGTCTGGATGTTTTAAAATTTCAGAAACGTTAGCCAAGTTATTAACACGCTTATCTCCTAGTAAACGATGAAGAAAGAAGAAAGCAAACATTAAATATTTAATAAACAATGTACATAATTTCAGACCCAAGGTTATATTAAGAAAAAAGGTTTGAAACTTTCAATTTACTTAGGAACTCTTGATTGATGTCTCTCAGAGACAGCTTATCAAATTTACTTGGCAACTTGATGGGATTATATTAAAGGAAACATTATGTAATTTTAATCGATATTTATTAATAATAAAAATTTTATCCGACCTTCATAAATTAATATTTTCGAGATAATATTTATAAAAGATTGGACGAACAAGGAAAATATCATTTCAGAGGAGTTATTATTTCATTCTTATAACATTTTATATGTACATATAATTAATCAACATTTAAATTATCTCTTGGTAACACATTAATTAGTTACAAGTTATTACCCACGATATTTTATTTTAAAATAGAATATCTTCTAAATATTGAAGCAATATTAAAACTTAATAATAGTGTATTTCGTTTAAAGTAATTTAATTATTGCTAAAACTTATTTCAACCCGTCGATAATATTAGATAGTAACTTAGAATCAATTCTATTCAATACTTAAATTAAACTGTTTTAAATTAAAGCTTAATTGTTGTTGTTCCTTTATAAGGAAAGTCTTTAATGGAAAACAAACAATGAGATAAAAACTGCCTTACAAATAAATTCTGTCTGGATCGAATCATAACTAACTCCCGCCTTTGTGTATAACGTGGTAGTAATCGGGTAATTTCCTTGGTTCCCGTTGTTTATAGAGTCATTTGTGGCATTAACCTAAATTTACTACTAAATCGTGTTTTACTTTCAAATGTACATACATTCATATGCGATATATTGATATATAAATAAATAAATTTATTATAACTAAAAATATATAAATATTTTTTTTCTAATCCTTAATAGTTATTTATAATATATTTAAAATTAAAATATGTGACTGACACAATATTTAAAATAATTAATAATGTCGAAGAATAAATAAGATAATAATATTATTCATACAAATTGAAATACCTATAAGCTTAATAATAAGAAGTTTATCTGTTTATTAATGAATTAATATCAGTAAATTGCTAGAATATAAATATTCAAAGATATTGAACGCAAAAGTTCTTACAAGTACGCTCATACATAATTGTAATGACTTATACATACTTCATGAAACTGATTGTATGATAAAAATAAACGTTAAATATGTTTTTTTGCAAATGTTTTATTTATAATATCTCATAATATTAAATATTTGAAATCGACTGGTAATATTTACAGAAACATGATGTAAATAAGCTGTTAAAATCACAGAATTTTTCCATTTATGAACAGTAAGGTATATTTCGTTGGATTGGCAAATCTTATGCATAGGCGTATACGTGTGTGAGTAAGTACATATATGTATGATTTTAAATATGTGTTGCTATTTGAATATTAATGAGACTATTATCGAATTAAACAGTGCCAATTTATAAATGCTTTAAATATAAATATCAAATGCAATACTATAGGAAGTTCTCATTTTAGAGTTGGTTACAAAAAGTATTACTAAGCACATAAATATCCTCAATGTAAGTAATGCTTAGAATTTGTTGCCAAAATAAGTTTGTTCAAGACTCCCAGCAGATGATTTAGATTGTAGGCGCAGTATAAGTCTCGTGTCATCATATAAGGCCCACGAGGATTCTCATAGTTTAAAAAACCATTGGCTTGAGAGATTGTCAACGTGTACAATGAAGTGTAGCGTCAATATCGAGAGCGTTTATTGTTCGGACACTCCACGCTGTCTTTTGTACGCTTTCCCACTTGATTTTATGAATGTAAAATGAGTTTGATATATTTAATAAACGTATTGTTTAAATATTTAGTTATCATGTTTTTTTTTTCTTCTTAAATACATAAAAATCTTGATAAGATAAAGAAGAAGATAAAATTTTCACACTTTATTCTCCATTATTTTTTAGTGTAAGTTTAAAAGTTATGGTTTTCCTATAAGCCGTTAAAGTAAAGTTTCCTTAATATATGAAAACCCTTTTTCTTATTTATCTTAACCTTTTATCTTATAAAAATATAAAAAAATAATGCATTCCTTTTTATTTCATAATTATAAAATTTCTTTTTACCATTATGTAATGAAATTACTTTGATAGATGAAAATAATAATAATCTGCTCTAGTACAGTTTATTCTACAGTTAAAGCAAACTGCTTTATTGAATAAAAAATTCATTTGGCATAGTAAAAGATGCGTTGGGGAAAACTATAGAGATATAATTTTATGAAACTAAGTTGTCCTAACACAACGCGTTTTTTATTATTTTGCATCTACATAATTCTGACGTTTCGATTCCTTTACAGCAACCGAAAAGAAAAGTTATAGAACCGAAACGTCGGGATTATGTAGATACAAAATAATAAAAAGTGTGTAGTAACCGGGAACCTATAGTTTCATTTAAATGTGTACAAGTTTATGTAAACATTTAAAATATTATATGAACTAGAGTTATAGTAATGAGACCTAAGATTTTGGGAGTATTCATTTAAATGAAACTAATATTTTCGAAATTACAACACGATTTTTTATATTTGACTATTAACATACTCCCGACGTTTTGGTTACTTTACAGCAACCGTGATCACGGGCAGACGAACATATTAGTTTCATTAAGATTTATTGTTTCAGAATTTATTAAAGTTAACTTAACCAATTTTAACCTAGTTATTCCAACTAAGAGACATATGTGTGTATCAAAATAGATGAAAGCTTAACTCATTTATACCCAACCCCTCTTATGGCGGATTTAATTTTATAACCTGATAATGAATTCATCGTACCTGACGCTTGTGGCCGTAAATATAATAAAATTCTCCATCTATAAAGAGTTCCTGTTTGAATTCAGTAAATAAATTGATTTCCTAATATTTTTCGCAACCGTATCTCAATTTGTTAACGTACATAATTTCGTATACATGAATACGTTTTACGATTTTCTATATATATACATATACCTTATAAATAAATTTCAAAATAAACATTTAAAGTATATTTATATGTAGCTATTCCCAAAGTCACTAATACCCAAAACCATATAAAATATTGCTTTTTTGTTTATTGTGTTCTTGTTATTGATGAAATTATGATGAAGCATTTCATATGTTTCACTACAAAATGTTTTTTTTAATAATAGTAGTAAAGTAAATAGGTACTTCTTTTTCTGTCTCCTATATAGTATGTAGCAGGTATTCCGTGGCATTTGATTAGTATATGTAAGTGTACGTAAGCAAACCGTTATAGAAACACTGAACTTCATAAATTTAAATGAATAAAGAGTCTATATTTGTAATCACCAGATGACACGATAGAATGTTTTTATAGAAAATATTTCATATATTTGTAGTCTTCGCAGATATGTATTTTACAAACTCTACTACATAATATTTTAATTAATTATTGAAATAGTTGTATCTGTGTATATATTTACTAGTCCATAAAAATTATGTCTCAGGCCGTGGAATATGGACTCACGAGCTGATGATGACGAGGCCCCAACAGACCCGGCAGCCAGGAAACATACACACCACGACTACACTGAACAGGACTTTGAAAGTATATAGTTGTAGTTACTATCATTTACATATATATACTTGATCTCTCTGCTCATTCATTATATTTAGCGTTTTAAAAACCTCAAATTATTTTTTGTTTTATAAATAACATTTATAATGAATATTATTTTTTATAACAAGGATAATGAAAAACTGTTATGACATTATTTCATTTACATCGTTCCTTGATAAGTATGCAAAGTTTCAAATTATTCAAACAACAATTAAACTCAAAGATTAAATAACAACAATTAAACTCAAAGATTAAATACACGGTAACAATTAAACTCAAAGATTAAATTACATACATACAACCGAAGCTAATAAAAGCGTGTTCAAAATTGCCTAAATATGAAAAAATATTCATAAAAATAGAAGCTATATGTCTTCCAAATATTGACACCTGGAACAAATTTTAAAAATTCACGATATAACAAAATAGCAGGATAAATTTCACGAGGGAAATTGTCGCGTTACTTTTCTTAAGGGAGCGAGAGCACATTTTTTAAGAATGACTTAAGTAGGTCAAGAGTCTGTGACTCATGTGTTGAAGAATAGAAAATGGAAAAGTTATCTCCGAAAGCAAAATCATTTAAATTTAAACAATGTATCAAAAATAATTTCAAATTATGATATCGTTTGTTACGCGTTCAACTTGATACTTTAATAGGTTTGTTATAATAATTACTACAATATTTTATAGTACTCCAAGGGAAAGCAATTATTAATAAAATAATAAATTCTAATTTAATTTTTACCAACTATACAATCTATAATTACTATCATTTATAAAATATTGCCATAAATATATATTAGATGTTAGTATCATTGTGTGTGAATTGTTTTGACAAAGAAATGTTTGAAACTCATGTTACGGCCTACAGAAACTTTCATACGTGTGTAAGAGACATAATAAAAGTTGTGCTGTAAGTTACGACATTTAGCCAGCCTATACCAGGGGTGTGAAACTCGGTCAGAGGTAGTTAACTGTTTTAGTTATTATTCGATATCAATAAAGTTGCTACAGATATTTGACCGGAAGTTTGTAAAGTTCTCTAAGCAATATACGTTTGAGGTGAAAGATCATTTAAAAATTATAGATTGCCTTTTGGGTTCTTTTTTATATTTATTTTCTATTAAAAGCCTATTTATAAAAGAAGTAAAAAACTTGTGTGTGTATTAGAGGTTTGTGCTTACTTAGTTACGGTTATTTCGTTGGAAAGATTTTAACAGGAGTGATATAATTAAAAATACACAATTCAATAGTTTAAATGCATTTTCTTTTGTCATTATGAGCATAAGATTGTCGTTACTGAAACGGAAAATAATTTTTAACCGAGCTCATAAACCTCTCAACTATTGTTTTAATATTTGAAAATTTTCAGTTTTTAATCAGAATAATTAGAATATTTGACATTCAAATCTAAATAATAAAGAAATGTTTTAAAATTAATTGGTTATTGTAAATTTTTCAGTTATATAAATATAATTTATTTTAATTTATTACCTAACGAACACTTTTGTATAAACTATTTAAATTCCAGACAAAAACTTATCTTATCGGCATATGTAGAAGAGTTATGTCCCTTTTCAAGCTCGGTTCGCTTATCCAGAAAATAATCTAGGCCTGATTTAACCCTTCTATTACGTGAAAATGAGGAAACTCTATTCACTAGTTTTATAATTCTGTGGCACAAAGTCTTCATCGTAATAATGTTAACCAGATTTTAAATTCACCTCACGGGACTCTCTTGAACAATTATTATAATGGAGTAATTGGTAATTTATCAAACGTTTATTATATAGCTCAAAGAGTATAAAATGTGAAGTATATAGACAAGAAGTTAGTCAAAGATTTTATTGCAAACATAATAGAAATTTGACTTACTACAAAATGATAGAAGAATATAGATCATAGAATAATATTTTCACTTTGTTGTTATCATAATGAGATCTAAGACTTTCGCGATTAATCATTCAAATGAAACCAATTTCTTTTTCGGATTATACTGCGAGTATTTTAATATTTTAAAAATTATATACCCCCGACGTTTCGGTTACTTTTCAGCAACCGTGATCACGGACAGACGAGATGTGAATCTCAATTGATGCTGTTATTTATCATATACCGCCAACGACAGATGATAATATCAAAATAACAAGACATAATATAACGATTTGTTGTTTAGGTACAATCATGAGGTAGCCATACCAGCAAGCCTGGCCTTTAAGAGTTTTATATAAATAAAGTATACTTATCATGCTTCATTGGTTTAAAAAGAGTGATCCCAGAAAAACTCCAATCCAAATAGGTACATCCCTACTAATATTATAAATGCGAAAGTAACTCTGTCTGTCTGTCTGTCTGTCTGTCTGCTACGCTTTCACGCCTAAACCACTGAACTGATTTTAATGAAATTCGGTACAGAGATAGAGTTGACCTTGAGAAAGAACATAGGATAGTTTTTATCCCAGACTTTTGAAAGGTTCTCTTGGAAACGCGATATAACCGAACTCCACGCGGCGAAGCTGCGGGCGGAAAGCTAGTTAAAAATAAATGACGCAAAATTGTCGTCTTATGATCTTGTAAAGTCCTTGCATATAATATGTACCTAAAAATCATATGTCACATTTTATAAAACCACAACATAATTAAATTTAAGTTTTAAAGTCTAGACGTAATTTTCGCGATCAATCTTCAGTCTTTTCTTTGTCATTACAATTTCGAATTATTATTATCTTTCATGAATCTCATAAACTATAAGTAACAAATTTAATATAAGACAACTCAATTGAAACCTTAGTTCTTAGTAAATAAAAGCTAAAATCGTTTATCCAACACACAGCTTTCAAATGTCTTTGAATAACTTCCCCATCTCAACACATGTTTACAACCGTAATAAATCCTAAGTACCTATCAGCGATCTGACAAACCTATTTACATTATAACCTCCTATTTGGGTTTACGCCTTCTTTCATTCTCCACAAAAAAGCTTTGATGAACACTTTTCCGATATGGGAGTACAAAAATCACATTAAAACGGAGATACTTCCATCATGATAACACTTCAAAAGGAAAATCTTACTTACAATAAAGACAACAATATTACTTTCATAAATGAAGTTAAATAATAAATTTTATATTAGTTTTATTACTATAAAAATTAAAAACAATTGAATAGTTTTAAAATATATGTTTAATAATTTAACTGAAATTATTTATAATTGTAATATTTTTAAATAATGAGTATTTCCTTAAAATTATAGATCTAGGACTATCTCGAGTTTTTTTTTAAATGTAACTAATATTATTTGAATTACTACGCGTATCTTATTATTGTAAAAACTACAAATTTCCGACGTTTCGGTTACTTTTCAACAACCATGATCACGGATAGGTGAGATGTGAATGTGAATTTACAGTGATTTTTTTTTAAATAAAATGCACGTAGTAATCCGAATAATATTAGTTTCATCTATTAGTTGATTCTGTCTAGCTTATGTTAATCTACTATTAGTTTTTAAACACTTCCGATCCTGACCGGTAAAGATAAAGGTTATTTGTAATTCTATTACTCTTATAAACATTACAAGAGTTCAATGAATTTTATATAATGTATTTCATCAGGGCACAGAGCGCACACGGTGTTTGTGGGTGTTCATGTACCGGCAAGAAGACATTCACATAGGAAACACAAACACCATCACCGCTATGGAGAAAAAGATCCTGAAAGACCAAGTACGTTACAAAAGTCCATGGCTATTAAATACAATTACTCATTAACCTTTCAATGATGTATGTTAATTAGAGATTTCCTCTTTATACAATTGAAATATAAAAACAATTTTTTATTATTATTAATAAAATATAATAAAATTAATTGAAAGAAATATATTTAATTTAAAAGAAATTATATATAACTCTAAATAAGTCTTGTCTAATAAAATGATTAAGATCGTTAAGCTTCAAAGAAAAGATGAAAAGGTTCGTTAGCTCTTTGAAAAGTCTCGTTCACGCAAAAACCTATTTTGAATAGAAGACACAATCAGGTTATTTTGTTATTATATTTATAATTTATTGTTTATTAACTATTTCTTGGGGTTACAATTATATATCTTTATCTTAAAATTTAATTTAAAAGTTAAACTATTAGTTAATATTAATATCCCTTACATTAAATGTAGTTTAATGTATTTCTCCACCCAAAGTAAATTTTTACTTTAACTTTTTATTCAAAATCATTATAACTCTCATAAGGAATTACTGGGTCTATTTTAATAAAATTATTATTTTTCCTAATATACCGCTTAAACGTTAATAAACACTAAAATAAAATTAATTACATTCTTATTGTACATTTTATACTCGTAACTTCTATAGATAGATTTATGAAAGTCTGAACTGAATATAAGTCGTCTGTTTTTGTATGACATAGAAAGTCTCATAATTATACTTCACAATGGCTATTCTAGCTACACCTTTGTGTTTCTATTCTGAAAATATACATAGATTATCAAAGACTTAATGTTTAATTTATATCCACTTTAGTGTGTTTAGAAAATTTCTCATTTATAAGATGCTTTCCGAAACAAAAGCGCTCATTAAATTATCCTATCAGATTAGTTTAACCGGTAAGTTCTCAAAAAGTTAAAGTTTATACTTTGTTTTGTATCCATTATAAGTGAAAAGACTCAATGTTTTATAACCTGTTGAGTATATGGAACTTTTGATTACTTTAGAAATGAACATTTTTTCGAAACTTAAAAAATACACAACGAACTTTCAAAGAATGGGGAAGGAAAATTTGAATATTTTCCTTTATATTTAAAAAAAAAACACTTTAATATGTATAAGAAATGGTTAAATTCCAAAAATAATATATTTATAAGGTCTCATGTTAGATATATAATCAATAGACTTAAGTTGTATACAACACTTTGTAGGCCCAGCAGTAATGGCTCGAGTTAGAAGACTTAGCGTAACGGATGATGGGGAAACATGTAAGAAAATAAATGCGGTTCACTGAGATGATTCATTCATAAATAGCGTTTCTGAATCAATTCCTCTATCTGCTTTTCATAAACTAATAAGCATGGGTCTGACGAATCATGATCTTGTCTAATCGGTTTTTCATTCACTTAATGTGCCTTCATTTTCCTGAGACAACTTTATTAGTAGGTTTCACGCATGTTAATCGTTAAAAGAGCCTTTCCATTTTTGTTTTAAAATTTTGTGTTATACTTTCAATTAACTATTTACAAGTTTTATTGTATATTTACAATGACCTATACTTTCCAGTAACACCACCAGCCCAAAGGGTTCAATTTATATTGGGTGAAGATGTTGACGACTCCACCCTTGAATCCCATCCACTTTTTTCTGAAATGGAAGAGTTGGTTAAGGATGGAGATGAGTTGGAATGGAAAGAAACAGCAAGGTGGATCAAATTTGAGGAAGACGTCGAAGAAGGAGGCAATAGGTGGTCGAAACCACATGTAGCGACACTTTCTTTGCATTCGCTTTTTGAACTGAGAAGTCTCATTTTGAATGGATCAGTAATCCTTGACTTAGAAGCAAGTTCATTAGAACAAGTTGCAGATAGTGTACTAGACAATATGGTTGTAGAAGGACTTCTTGCTTATGATAGAAGAGACAAAGTAAAAGATGCATTACTTAGAAGACATAGACATCAACATGAAAGACGAAATCATAATAATATGTCTAGACTTCCTTTAATCCGTTCTCTTGCGGACATTGGAAAAAATCACTCATCCTGCAAAAGTGAGTAAAATAGTTCACTAGAGCATTAAGATCTTCCTATTCCATAAGTTGCATTTTCAAACTATCAGGACCTTTAATAAGGATATTGTTGCGAAATTACATTAGATTTCCAGGAGAGTGGCTCTCGACGCTCCAGTTCGAGGAGTTGTCGAGGGTCCACCTCGTCTCAGAAATCGGCACTCCATCCCGCAGCCGACTCGAGAGGCTCTTATCTAGCCGTTCCAGGTCAGCCAAGCGTGTTTGGTAACATGTGTGCATTTGCTCACCAAATTCACGCTCTTTGACTGACATATAACACGCCAGCACATTTTATGCTAATTTATTATATCCCGTTTATGTATATAGGTGTACATAATATAATGCACCTAAAATTTCCCCAAATTTTTTGTGAACATTTGGCATTGTGTAAATTACAGTGGATGAAGGCGCTACAAGTTCATCAAGTGGGCCTTTTCAAAAAGGAGATTTTGGTCGATTCCTAGGCATCTCTAGTGCGGGTAACCGCTTACCATTAACCTTTGTACATCGATGTCATACATTTTATAAATCAAACTTTTTTAATCTCTTTTGATTTTGTATGCTATAGTTTTAAGCTGATCGCAAATTCCTTATTGTTATTGGATGTTTGATACGAGCTTTTGCTAAATGTGCTTTAAGATAGACATATTTTAACACAAATTAAATAATGTACATACTTCAAAAACAATATTGTTAAAGCAATAAATTTGTTTCAAAGTATTGTAATATACCATTGTTCGTTATTATAGACATCATTTTAACTCTTTTTGTATCACTTTTCACATGCATTGTTGTACCAAGTTTTACTATTATGTATTTATTTTATGAATGTGACTTTCGTCGTCGAAGCCGGTGATGTATTTCAGAATATAAATATTTCGAATAATTTCAGGTGCAGCTCATGATGAAGGAATGGTAAAAAGTCCTAGCAATTTATCTATGCATCGTAATCACAGTTTAGGAGACCTACCATTGAACGGGGATATAAATCACAAATGTAACACACATTTTATGAGAAAAATCCCACCCGGAGCCGAAGCTTCCAATATTCTAGTCGGTGAAGTGGATTTTCTTGAAAAAACGCTTTCTGCTTTCGTGAGACTGAAAACTGGTACTATCATGGGTGATTTAACCGAAGTTCCGGTGCCAACACGCTTTATGTTTGTTTTGCTAGGACCACCCAATAGCAACTCTAGCTTTCATGAAATCGGAAGAGCAATGGCTACCTTAATGTCAGATGAAATATTTCACGAAGTTGCTTATAGAGCTAAAAGACGTGACCACCTACTGGCCGGAATAGATGAGTTTCTGGATGCCGTGACTGTATTGCCACCTGGAGAGTGGGACCCAGCTATTCGTATTGAACCTCCCGCAGCAATTCCTTCTCAAGATCCTCGCAAGCGTCCAAATGACAGTACACCTAAGGAAGAACCCGATGAAGAAGAAGAAGAACAAAAGCAAAGAGAAGAATCGGGTTTGTCAAGGAGTGGAAAACTATTTGGAGGTTTAATGAATGATTTTAAACGAAAAGTTCCATGGTATTGGTCAGATTTTAAAGATGCTATGGCTCTTCAGTGTATTGCTTCATGGATATTTTTATACTTTGCCTGCCTATCACCAATAATAACTTTCGGTGGCTTGTTGGGGGAAGCAACTGGTAAAAATATGGCAGCCATGGAATCTTTGGTGTCTGGTTTTGTATGCGGCATGGGATACGGATTTTTTTCTGGCCAACCCTTAACAATCTTGGGGTCAACTGGACCCGTCTTAGTATTTGAAACGATTGTTTTCGAATTTTGTAAACAAATTGGATGGAACTACATGTCTTTTAGATTCTGCATCGGAACATGGACGACTATTATCCTTATTACTTTAGTTGCAATAGACGCAAGTGCATTAGTTTGTTACATAACTCGATTCACAGAAGAAAATTTTGCAACTTTGATAGCTTTCATATTTATTTACAAGGTGGGTTTTCGCGAAGATCGAGAAATATTTTTTTTTTCATAAATGTTTAAATATTATACAATATTTCAGGCAGTGGAAAATGTTATCTCAATCGGTAAAAAGTACCCTTTAAAGACGCGGCCCGATGAAGTTCTCAATTACGAATGTTATTGTTTACCAACCAATTACTCAAAAGTACCAGAGCAATTTAATTGGACGTCCGTTGATAAAGTGTCTTGTCAGGTACGTAACTAACAAAGTTGAGGTAATTAATATTTACCTTATGTGAATAAACATCGACGTTCTTTTTGTTAATTAAATATTGACATTTGTTACATCTTTGATATTATTTCAGTTATATAACGGAACTTTAGCAGGTGGTGGGTGTGATACCAAAGTATATGTACCAGACGTTTTTTTGATGTCAATAATTTTATTTCTCGGTACATTTACAATCTCTATTATTCTTAAAGATTTTAAAAACTCCCTGTTCTTCCCATCAAAGGTAATATGGAAAAATATGTATTATTATACCCTTTTAATGTCAAAATACAAATATTTCATAAGAAATAATATAATTTCAGGTTCGGCAAATCATAAGCGATTTTTCGGTTATAATAGCTATTTTGTCGATGTCTTTCCTAGATTATAAGGTTGGCGTGAAAACCCCAAAACTGGAGGTTCCTTCAGAATTTAAACCCACTTTACCATCTCGCGATTGGGTCATAACTCCTTTTAATGGAAATCCAGTTTGGTCAGCCCTGGTGGCTATTCTACCGGCATTGTTGGGGACCATACTTATATTCATGGATCAACAAATAACAGCAGTTATTGTGAATCGGAAAGAGAATAAATTGAAGAAGGGATGTGGTTACCATTTGGACCTATTTGTTTTGGCTATTCTTATACAAATTTGTTCTATAATGGGATTGCCATGGTTTGTAGCGGCTACTGTCCTTAGTATCAATCATGTAAATTCTCTAAAGGTCGAATCTGAATGTGCTGCTCCCGGTGAAAAACCACAATTTTTAGGAGTTAGAGAACAAAGAGTGACACATATCCTCATATTTCTGACTATAGGTTGTTCAGTTGTATTAACCCCGGTTTTAAGACATATACCAATGCCAGTATTATTTGGAGTATTTCTATATATGGGCGTTGCATCGCTCAAAGGACTCCAATTCTTTGATAGAATTTTGATAATGTTTATGCCTCAAAAATATCAACCGGATCACATGTTCTTGCGACAAGTAAGTTTTATTTGAAAGTGTATACATTTTAGTTAAGATTTTGTGTATAATAATATAATTATAATTTTTTTAGGTCCCAATACGTCGAGTTCATATATTTACTGCTATCCAACTGACTTGTCTTGTCTGTTTGTGGCTCATTAAGTCGTTTTCTACGACATCCATTTTGTTTCCATTGATGCTTGTTGTAATGATTGGTATAAGGAAATCTTTGGATTGGTTCTTTACTAGAAGAGAACTAAAAATTTTAGATGATGTTATGCCAGAAATGACCAAGAGGAACCAAGACGAACTTCGCGAACTCGGCGATATCGAGGTGGGATGGCTTTCAAAAGTGTTGCGACTTTGTTGTAAAAAATAACTTCATCATTCATATTCATCCATCAAGTGTTCATCATTTAAATACTAGCAGAATCGAAATGACACCTCATCCTAATGTTTAAAATTATATTTTATTTAATATAACATCGAATCGATATAAGATATAATAAGGTAATAGTCATATGTACTTTTGAAATAGAGGCTAATCCACTCATGATGATAAAGAAAACTACAGATTCCGCTTGATTAAAAACAATTCTTAGGGTGTTCCATTGTAGGACACAAACAAGAGCAGTCCACCAACATTTCAAGAGAATCTACAAATTCCTCTTATCAATGGAAACATAATGAACATACCTCTGGCATCTATTAACATATCTGAGGAAATGAATAAAACAGGAATTTGGAAACAAGTCAACAACACCAACAAAAATAAAAATCATCCAGAAGGAAGGGATTTGAAATTAAAGTGCGGAAAAAAAACGTAAATATATTTTATGTTATATGTATATCTTGTACCTGTGTAGTGTCTGCCTCCTCTTATTAATCCATTTAATACCTATGTTTGCTGTGACATTTACTGTCATTAAACACATTTTTGAAATATTTTGAAGAACACTTTGAAAATTACACAACACGACACGAAAAATAATTATTGAATAGATGCTATAAATGTATTGGAAAGACAAGTCTATGAAAAAAACTTACCATAACGAATGGCTTACTAAATGACATTCATGAGTGTGACTGAAACCTAAGAGATGGGTCAGAATTATAATCCTTTATTATTACGGATGTCTACTTGGGCCCATGTTTTATATAGGAAACCAATGCCATTATATATTACAATCTTAAAGGCCTATGAAGCTACAATTACGATTGATTCCTCAGAAAAATATATATCATTCAGAGTTTTAAATACTATTTCTTTGATAGTCCTTACACTTCCAGTATCAAACACAAAAAACTAATATCCAAAAACGCACAATCCGAGATCGAGAGGCGCCTTTCAACGATGGCAGAAGTGGAGGAAGATGACTCAATGAAGGTGTGCATGGATACAAAATTCTAACAAGGCTATGGAGAAGCACGGCATGTTCCCTCTTCACGCATGATGCTACTTACTGAACGAAAGAGATATATTTTAAACAACACAGAAAAATATTGAATTTATCTACGATTAATATTGTTGCTATAAATTCAAAAGCATTCGTAAATCAGACGTTCAGTAACAGCGTTCATTTACCCGTAGCTCACGAATTATCCATAGTTGGCGTCCTCTTGTATTTTAAGAAGCTAGAGATGTAGGTATAACACAAAATTTCCAGTATTATGAAAAATATTATAACTAAAAGTAAGTTCGATATATACATATGAACCGGTGTCAGACTTATTATGGGAAGAATGTATTTGGATTTTAGTAGGTACATATGTATATTTTGACGCCGTTCCGTGACTTTCTTTGTAAAATGACATCTTAATATTCGTTAAAAACACATTTTCAGTGGCTATTGATCAATCATTGTTATTGTACCTAAATATTTATAATGATAATATGTAAAAAACTTAATTTTTTACTTTTCTTTCTTTTACTTTTCATTTCTTTTTGTGCTATTTTATTATAAAACCTCATAAACATGCTTTAAATGTGTTCCTTTACTTCAATTCTTCTAGTTTTTCTGTATCTTTAAAAAATACACATAATCTGATTATGCACAGAATTAGTTGCATGTATTTTTACTCTCATACCTTTATTTATACGTACCTATTTGGCATGTACTTTAGCCTAAGACTTAAATTAGTTTGTATTCAACTTCTAGAATATATACACATAAAGCATAGTGTAGTTTATATATTCTACATTTTCTTACATTATACTCTATAAATATTACATAATTATGCAATTATGTTGTTTCCTCTAAACGATTTTCAGAGCGATCTTCTAAGGCGCAAGGAATCCTGGAATAGCGGATTTAAAAAGCAAAATAAATCTGCTGAAACATCTGTTTAAACATTTTTATTTTTATATTCAGTATTTTTTTATTCTATAATAAGTTATTTAAATTTACGAACTTTCTGTTACTTCTATTTATATTTTCTTATGATTTTTTATAACAAAATTTTATTTATTCTAACGCTTCTTTCTTTAATCAAAAATTTCTTTGTTTGAAGAAACTTGCAATATTTTATTTATATTTTTATAGGCATATTAATCAGTTCGACATATTAAGGATATATTTGTAATTACGTATATTTTATGTCTAACTATGAAAAGGCACAAATGAATTAAAATAATATAAATAAATATTTATTTCTTTGATAATATTCGTATATTCGTATGATAGACGCTGTTTCGGAAACTTTTGATGTCTAATATTAAGGTCATGAATTAACATAATTACCTTAATAATTTTTTGTCAATGTTGTATTTATCTATACAAATATTTACATTTTTATATGAACTTTTAAGTCATATTAAATGTTTTTTAAGGATTTAATAAAACGTTAATCACGTCGAATATTAATTGACCACAGTCTAAATTGTATTTGAAATATTTTTTAACTTCATTAACATGAACTTTTTCGCTAAAATTGTATGAACAGATTTAAATATCGAAGCTTTGAAAAATTTTATAATTTTTCAGCGATAATTTATTAATGTGCTGTGGTCATTGGAATCTTCTATACATTACGTAGGTATAAATAAGTATTTAATGAGTGATACAGAATTATGTGAATTAAAATAAACTTAATTACCCAAAATAATAATTACCATTACTAAAGAAAGTGCCAATAGAATAACACCAGTAGCGTTTAGATTATTGAATCATTTAAATACTCAGTGACTCCACTAAGTTCTATAATACACTCATTTACCCTATGTCCGTAGTCGTTTGTAATATCAATGTAATATAGACATTATAAGTATAGCATAAATAGGTAGGGATGCTTACAAACAATAAAGTAATTATTACGTGTCATTTAAATAGAACAAACAGTAATTTAATTGTTATTATTTGGAAAAACTAAGTTAACTCCTACAATTTTTCTTATTATTTTTGTCATCAAAAGCCGATTTTTATAGTAATAACCAAATTTAGGTATTATAAACGTATACGTAATGAGGAATAAAAACATGGAATTGATTATTTATTTAACCGATGATTATTACAACATGATTCGAGAAATAAAAATGTGTTTGGTTCTTGTCAACCTTAAATATGTTATGTAATGTAGTCTAACCAAAAAAAAATACAGGCAGTCTCTAGTGTTTTCGTGTGTTTTTGAATTAACTGGTGACTATTTAGTATGACGATGCAAACCCGTTATAATGATACTATATTAATTTAATTCTCAATATTATTATTTTTATTATACGTAGCGACAGCATATGTTAATCCCTAATACGCCTAAACTAGTGAATTGTAGCCGAGTGGTAGTTAAATGTTGGAATAAGTAAACAATTATTGTTGTACCTGGCGGGAATAACTCGAATTTGTATTGTTTTGGAGATCTTTGTGGAGTGTTATGAATAAATGGAATTTTTAAATGTATATGTAGTAAGTTTTATTTACAATATATCTTAATTTTATACATGTTGTATGTATCCCCATAAAAATCTGTCAGAAGAGTCTTTTATGGGTCTTATATGAATAAACCGTTTAAAATTGGAACATCAAAGTTTGATTTGTTCAGAAATCCGATATATACTGCAAATATAGAATAGGGTCAGCAAAAAAAGACAATCAAATGATTTATTTTCATATATTCGAATCTTAAATAAATTATCCTATATATTATCTAGGCGGTTAATTTTTCTTCTTCTTCTGATCTGGTAGTAAACCCATTTCCTCTTGGTATTTTCTTATAAGTTGTTCTTGGACGTCGGGCAGACACGGCGAGTAACGACTGTACTCCATACTGAACTCACCTTTACCTTGAGTCATCGATCTGCAAGTATTAATAAAATTATTATTTTAAATTTTTATTACAGTGGCAACACCATCTTTATTTATAGTAGGTTATGGCAACATTGAATTTCATCATAATTTGGCCGCCAAATATCAAAAAGTAAAAGCAATTAAATGATAATTCAAGAAAATTTTATCAAATAGCATGTGGGAAACTTATATACCTCATACAATTTCCTAATCTTTTTCCCCAAAATTTTTTCATTACCTTACTAAAGCATATTACATCACCTAACAAATGATTTGTTATTCTACTTATTCGCTAGGTAGCGCTTAAATCTTATCTCACTTCGTACTACATAGAAAGGAAGCCTACAGTAATAAACACACTATACCAGTTCATAGCTATAACATTTGCTTAGAAAATATCCAAATAAGTGACAGTTAATATAAATCCTTCGATATGTGTATGAAGGAAGAACCGTATTTTTTGTACCAACAACGTCTTCCACACCATTTAATATATAATCACTAACTAAACTGAGTTCCCCAGCGTACCCGAAGCGATATATCTTGTACCAACAATGTTTTATGTTTCCAACCAAATTCACGATATTATTATACCTAATAACTAACTAACCTGAGTTCCCCAGCGTACCCGAACATATTGTTCAAGGGCACCTCAGCGTATATCGTTGTCCAACCTTCGCTGCCCTCCGTACCGGTCACGATGCCGCCTCTCTTATTCAGCTGTCCTATCACAGCTCCGTGGAACTCATCCGGCATCACCGCTTCAACTGACATTATTGGTTCTAAAATCTGCCACGCACCGTCCTCGAAAACTATGGAATATAATAAACTAGGTTTTTACTGCGACTTCGTGCGTTATCATAGGAAAGTAAATAATGCTTAATATAATCTATATTTTCATCAGACGTCAGCGACATCTATTTGTGTCACGTGACTTCATTCAAACCACATATCATTCAGGGGACCAATTAATGTGATAAATGATAGCATGTCTCCTATATTTATCTGATTTTTAAGCTATATTATCGGAAAGGTTTTTATATTATATACATATATAATCCATGCAGCAAGAAGGATACGAAGTGTAAAATAGATAAATACCAAAATTTTCGCAAAGGAAAAATAATTGTTTTATAAACTTAAAGAGTTTTTACAATCAATATAAATGTCTCTAATATTTAAATTTATATACTGATGAAGTTCGGCACTTATAAGGATAAATATAATAATTGTTTAATGTTTAAATATTAACGAAAATTATTATTATTTTACTTACACCTCAGTAAATAATTACATAAAAATTTATTCAAGATACATTTAAGTACCTTTTTCTGAATAATGTTTCAAGAAATGGTAAGTGACAAACATGTTGTAGGCAAATAATATTATAATACATTTTTTACTAATTATAGAACTGTTAGATAAGTTTTAAACGTGTACCTTCTTTAACAGCGCCTTTCGCAGCCAAAAAGAATGCCAGTTCACTGGAGTCCACTATGTGATGAGCGCCGTCTTGTAGCCTGAACTTGACGCCCGATATCTTATGACCCGACAGATATCCCTTCTGACACGTGTCAATAAACCCTCTCTCAACACCGGGAACGAACTGCTTCGGTACGTTCGTTCCTATCGTTTCATCAACGAACTCTAACACTGAAAGAATTATAGATATTATTAATTAAAAATATTTATTGATAGGACATTTATGACTAAATTCCTTAGTATTACTATGGTTATGGTCAAAACAACACATAATTTTAAAGATAAAATATAAGACTATAGACCAATAATAATTGAATGTAAAAAATTTATTCACTTATTGTTTTTAAAATCAAAACCAGCTGTATTCTAACGATCCTTTGAAATTTTTTTAAAAAATAAGCATTTTTCCAAAAATTATTTCTATAATAATTATAATTTATAAGTATTTCTTAGAAAGTTCGGTATGCATGATTCCGACAGTCGAGTTTATTGCGGGCTAGGATAACAAAGCGACCAAAGAACGTACACTACGCAGTTATTACTAATTTTAGCAACTTAAAAGGTACTTCATATTACTTAATTGTTGTCGTTATTAAGAGAGGATGTGATGCTATGTAGAGTGTATCATTGTATGGTAGACAAGCTACACCAACCAAAGACAAAAGATTTCGACGCTTTAGAGAGTTTGTCATTAGACCGAGTGACGTTACATGGAGTTTACACTGTATATATAAGTATAATAATTATATTATTGATATTAATCAACTAACGCGTGTTTTGATGTGGCGGCAATGGTTCCATAATGCCAGTGACCTTCGCGAACTGACCCGCGCCGCCGGACTGCTTTTTGTGAAGATAATCAAACTCACACGGTGACATCATAGTCTCTCTGAAATATATAATATTTGACTATTCATATTATTATTTTCAATAATATGTTTTCTACATGTGTTTAGGAAATTTTCATATATGTAGAAGAAATATTAAATCGTCTCTAATGTATAAGTGAAATATGGATGTCAGAAGAATTTTTGTTTCCAAAATTTTTTATTGGACCAATGTATAACAAAACCATCAAATGTAGAAAAAAAAGTTATTTATTAAAAAAAAACGATTTAAAAATAGGAAGTTTATGCATCAATATAAACAATTCAATTGCGATAACACGGCTTTTAGATAGAAGAAAAATTAATGAGAATTTTCTTCATGAATCTTTTTAAAAATATGTAATTCCTATGTTTTAATGACACCTGTTATTATTTTCTTATATAACCCACCTGAAAGCAACCTTTGGTTTCCCAAGCTCCACTGGACAGCCGTATTCCCTTTCCATTCTCTGCGCATAAATCTCAAGATGAAGTTCCCCCATACCGGAAACCACTGTTTCTTTGTTATCGCTGTCGTACCGGAAGTGGAAGGTCGGATCCTCTTTGGTGAATCTGAAAAATTTTACATTTACATAAAAATTTTACATTTTACATTTTACTGCAGTTAGAAACAAGCTAGGTTTATGCTACAAAATATTATTTTGTCTTCATATTAATTTCAACATATTATATACACAGCAATATAACTTTTATGTAATGTACCCTAATATTTACAACTATTATCTTCATATATTTATCTTCTTCTTCTACCTGGCCATTTCCCAGCATTAGCCAGGTTCTGCCTCACATGTCGTGCATAGTTTTGGCTAATCGATTTTACGACCGGCCGCCTGCCTGGCATCAACCCTCTTTTGGGAATGCATTAATCAGTGGTGTGTAAATACTCTCGGAAAGTACATATGACTCGGAAAAATCACATTGGTACTTGCCAGGATCGAACCTGCGCCCTCATGCATGTGAGGCGGACATTTTAACTACTAGGTCACCACTGACTTATAAACATATACATAAACATATTGATTGTTTTCTGAAATTTTCATACATAATTTCGGTCGATAGCAATAAAAAGCATGAACTATTTCCTTCATTTAACATACCTTGCAACGGCCTTAGAGAAATTATCTCTATCCTTATTATTCTTGGGTTTTATAGACATGGAGACAACTGGATCCGGTACGTGTATCGATTCCATTGATAGTTGTAGTTTACTGTCGTTAACGAAGGTATCACCGGACGCGCAATCAACACCGAACAAAGCGAAGATATCACCAGACAACACTTCGTTCACCTCCTCCATATTGTTGGAGTGCATTCGGACTAAACGTGATATTTTCACCTGAAACATTCAATATATAATGATTTAACAGTGTTACATATATGTACATACTAGCTGCGCCCCGCGGTGTTACGCGCTTATTTTCGGGATTTCCGGGATGTAAAGTAGTCTATATGTTATTCCTGGACGTCAGCTTCCTGTATACAAAATTTTATCAAAATCGGTTCAGCCGTTTGAGCGTGAAGAAGTAACAAACATACACACACACTCACAAACTTTCGAAATATAATATTAGTAGGATAGTTTATATGAGTCGCAAAAAACTAATTTCATAGTAAAACTGAAAAATATCAAGATAGGATATTTACTTTGAAATTAATATATTGTAGTTCAATTAAGTAATATTTTAGTCAGCTTGTAAGCAAAAAATGTATATTTTTCTTAGACAGTAACATGCATACAAAAAAAAAATATATAGAATCATGTAAGAATTTTTTATCTATCTCTTTTTAGTATGTCAGTATGCCATTTACGTATTTATTTACATTTATAAAAATAAAATTAATTTTATGTCATAAGGATAATAGTCTACTTATCAAACTCACCTTTCTACCTGTTCTTGAATTGTATATCGTTTCCCCTCGTTTCAACATGCCCTGATAACATCTCAGATACGTCAGTTGACCGAATTTGCTGACTTCCAATTTGAATGCCAACCCTACAAACGGCTTAGCATCGCTTCTTGTAGGATCCAACACTATGGTAGTCGCTTCTCCCTTTTTCTCGCCAGTAAGAGCTGTGTTTTCAACTTCCCCTGGATGCGGCAAGTAATCTAGTACAGCATCCAATAAAGGCTGGACCCCCTTATTTTTTAACGCTGTTCCCATTAAAACTGGAGTGAATGTCCGTTTTAGTGTTGTACGACGCACAGCCTGCTTTATATCTGCGTTGGTTGGGACTTTTTCTTCAAGGAACATCTCACCTGTAAGTAAGTCAGTCATGAGTTGTTGGATTTGTTAAAAATTTTGTCCTTACAGAATGTTCTAGTACTATGATAAGCACAAATTATAGAGTTTTAGAAAAATAGTGACATTTATTATGTATATACATAATATATGAGGAGTAATTTGCTCCATAGTAAAATTTCATAGCCAATCTAACAGAAAACTAAAAAGATTTTTTTTAGTAGTTCTTGCATTAGTTTTGCTTAAAATATTGAAGTAAACAGATAAGAAATAACAATTATATTTTTTCTAATTAATAACACGATAATAAAAATATTGATTACCATAACATAAAAATTATTGACAATCAAAATACTGATATTGAATACACAATAAAGAAAATTCTAATAATTTACTAATTTTATGTTTTTTAAAATAATGATTACCTAAGATTTCATCAACATTGGAAAGATGTTCAACAAGTTCATGTCTTTTTTCCTTCACTTCAGCTCTTCTATCTTGAGGCACTTCATCCAACCTCACAATTTCACCGTAATCCCCCTCAAAATACATAGCCTTCTCTTCAACAAGGTCTAGTATACCTTTACATTCCTTCTCCAATCCCATCGGTAAATGTAGGAATGCTGCATTGTGATTCATTTTGGACCTCATCTGTTTTAAAACTCTGAAAAACATTGCATACGTCATGTTAAGAAATATTTAAACAATATCTTATATGTAATGAGAACTGAAATTTTCGCGAGTTTTCTACATTTAAATGAAATATTAGTTTGGATTATACTATGCGATTTTATTTTTGTGAAAAACTACATAATCCAGTCGTTTTGGCTACTTTTCAGCAACCAATGTGAATCACATCTTGTGTGCCCATGATCACAGTTGCTAAAAAGTAGCCGAAATGTCGGGAGTATGTAATTTTTTACAAAAATAAAATCGTTTAGCATAATCCAAACATACTAGTTTCATTTAATATTCTTATAACTTCAGTCATGATTGACTTATGAACAATTGATGTTAATCTTCTATATATGTATATATAAATGGATTGCTGTTCCTTAGTCTCGCTAAAACTTGAGAACGGCTGAACGGATTTATTTTATCTTAGTCTTGAAATGTTCGTGGAGGTTCAGGGAAGGTTTAAAAGGTGAGAAAAATTGATTCATTTTCGGGAAAACCCTAAAAACAGCACTTTTCTATTTCCCATACAAATGTTTTCTTTGACATTAGATTTGACAACTAACTAATATGTCAATCATTTTGTTCGATTGAAACAGGAAAAACCGGATTATTTATGGCCTCTAGGACGGAATAGAGTTCGCCCGGTCAGATATACACATATTACCAACTAGAAGACCTGACGAACTTCGTATCGCCCTATAATCAAGAAATGTCTATTACGTTTTTTTATTTATATTTTTGGAGTTTACCTGTAAGCCATAAATCTCCGTGTTTTGGAGTGCGACAGAATGATTGACATATTAGTTAGTTGTCAAATCTAATGTCAAAAAAAACGTTGGTATGGGAAATAGAAAAGGGCTGTTTTTATGGTTTTCTCAGTAATGAATCAATTTTTTTCAGCTTTTATACCTTCCCTAAACCTCCACGAACATTTAAAGACTAAGATAAGATAAATCCGTTCAGCTGTTCTCGAGTTTTAGCGAGACTAAGGAACAGCAATCCATTTTTATATATATATAGAAGAAGAAGATACATAGAAGATGATGAAATTAACGCGGACGAAGTCGAGGGCAAAAACTAGTACATATTAAAACTTGAATACAATATAGATGCAAGAAAAACTTATTAATGGTTGGTGTTAAATAATAAATATATTATTATAACCTGTCAGGATTAGACCCCATTCTGTCCAACTTATTAATAAATGCCACGCACGGTACATTATACCTCTTCATCTGCCTATTAACTGTTAAAGTCTGACTCTGTACACCACCGACGGCACACAGCACTAATACTGCTCCATCTAAAACCCGTAATGCTCTCTCAACTTCCACTGTGAAGTCCACATGACCTGGTGTATCTATTATATTGATATTGTGATCCTTCCATATAGTATATGTTGCTGCCGACTGGATAGTAATCCCTCTTTGACGCTCCAATTCCATTGAATCCATTACAGCGCCTACATTATCTTTGCCTTTTACCTAAATCGGATAGCATAGCTTTATATTCTTATATATAATAATATAGTAATTTAAATTGAAAATATTGTTGATTCATTTAATTTCATACTTTACTAAAATAAGTATAGTATTATACTGTGTCTAACAAACCTCGTGCATCTGATCTATTCTGCCGGTGTAAAATAGTATTCTTTCAGTTAGAGTAGTTTTTCCTGAGTCAATGTGAGCTGATATACCAATGTTTCTGATTTTTTCCAATTCCTTGTGTTCTGCATATTTGATGTATGAAGAAAATTTCTATAAAAATAAATGCTTATAAGTTTATAATCTTAATTAGTTCTATAAAAAAATATAATAATTTTGGAGTATTAACTGAGAAAAACGGGCCTATAAAATATTCTGTCCTTTCTAGAATTCAATGTATAATACTTTACATTTAAACATTTCAACTTTGAACTAAGTTAAACACAATTACTCAATTACGTAAAAATTATTACATTTTGATCTTCTTACGATATTATTTTATAGCATGGATTTCACACTTACCTCAACTTGTAATTGACTCAAACTTTTTGTAACTTTTGATAAGCTTCCTAACCGAAACAAACTTAAGATAGTCATTTTGTTAAATATATATTATTTTAAAACATTGAATATATCAGAGCCCCACTGACTTCTAGAACCTCTCTCAACTTTTGAGGTTATATTTAAGTCAGTGTCAATGTCACTGTTTTTTTTTATTCTTATTGCCATGTAAGTTTTTCATTTTCGCTATTCCTTATTAATTCGAAATGTTTAAGAATAGGATTCTGAAAATTTATTACTTCTTCAAAGATATCTATTGATAAAAAGATACCTTTTTTTATATTTATGATTTAAATTGAAAAGTATAAAAATTTACTATTTAGATGTATGTTGTGTTAACTTAAATTTCTTTGATTCCTGGCCTATTTTAAAACCAAAATCTTGTGTATTTTTGAAGTAATTATGTAATATATATTAGATATTTCAAATTTATTATGACTTAATTTCAAATTATAAAAAATATACAGAACTGTAGTGAAGTTCGTTATTACGAAGTTGGCAGTTCTATAATCCATATCATAGACAACTTCAGAACCCTAATGATGTCAGTTTAGTTTCAGTTTAAAAAGAATATGGCCGTGTTAGGCCCGGGTGTGAGTGTAAATATGAATGGGCATAGTAATATTCATAGTCAGTTAACGAAATCATTAGAAAGGATCTTAGAAGATGCATATTTGAGTGGTGAATTAAAATTGAGCGGACGTAAGTTGCGAGAATTTCCGAAACCAGTGAAATATGACTTGAGTGATACAGTTGTTGCTGGTAAGTCTTGATTTATAAATAAATCCTGTTGCATTTGTACACGATACATGTATAATTTCATGTTTAAGATGTTTTTTATGTCATCTTCGGACTGTAAATGAGTGTAGGATTTTGTTATTGTTTACCGGCGGTTCGTTTCGTTTACCCGGCGTGGTCGACAGATCGATCGCACGTCGGATAACACAAAACCGTTTCGACCGTTTATGAATCATATTTGATTATTTTATTGCACTAGCTCATTACTTTCCTAAATAATTAAAAAAAACCTACAAAATTTCCTGTTTATCATACTTAATGTCCACATATAAATATGTTTTTTACACAATATATGTAAATATCTTTGAATTTCGAACTACCTTCAATATTCATAACGAATTTTGTAATACAAAATAATTGTTATGTAAGTCAATAGATACTTGTATATAAGTTCAACACCTCTTATAATATCAGACTGAAAACTCCCCTAATATAAAAAGTAAACCTGAAAGAGGCTTTTAGCACACCCTTTAGGGTTGGATCAAAGGGAATGAATACATAATGTATACACAGATAGTTACAATATAAAATATGAAATGGCTATGTCTTATTGGAATGGGGAAAGATGTTCTAAGTGCTGCCTGTACTTGGCCATAAATTAAGAGGCTGTTCTAACTCAAGTGTTAAGTTGAAACATCTTCAAGATAATTTCATGCCTTGGCAAGTTAATTACATTAAAGCTAATTTTGATTCATATTTTTTCATTCAAAGCATTTATGAGATAACATTTAAATACTGAATTTATTTTTAGTTTACATATTCTGAGAATTTAAAAAGAGAAAGTGAAATGTTACAAAATGTGGTCACATTTAAATTAATGTATTTGTGTTTTAAACATAAATGTATAATGTTACATTTAATAAGTTTGTTATAATGTAGGTGTGTATTGACGTTATCATGTGTCTCTATAAATTACTGAAACCTAATTAATTTGGGTGTGCCACCATAATGGTTATTTCCATCAGCAATAGCTTTAATGGAAGTATTGTATTATTTATTTTAGATTGACTGTTAGAGTCATTTAGTTGTTCCAATTATCAAACCCGAAATCCTAGTATGCTTTATTTGATTTACCTCAATTACAATCATTATAAAATTGTTATTATTATAATTACTGTATAATGTATCAACAAAACAATATAAATATATTTATTTTAGTATAAAAAAAAATTGATTAATTTTAATTTCGTATTTATTTCACTTCCAAATTAAATGTAAATTATTTAGTATCATGAATAAAATATAAGGTAAATTTGGAAGATATTCAAAAATAGTCTCTTTTAAAGCATAGCCTAACTTAAAGTTATATATTAATCTCAATTCAATAGAGTGAAGCGGATTACTCGCGCTCTTAATCAATCGACATCTTCACGTGTTGAAGTGGCTCATATAAAACTAGTTAATGGGAGAACATTTGTTACAAATCTATTTCTATGCAAAGGGCTTTATAAATCACGCAGCTGTATATCATAACACGTCATTGGATAGTTAAAACAGTAGATACTTGAGCTTGGGGTTACACAAGTGGTTTTGTTATTCTGATTGTCGATGGGATGCATAATAAATACGGTCGTTAAAATACTATTATTGTTTGTTTTTTTAAATTTAGAACAAGTTTCGTTAGCGTTATCTGTTGCTATACTATCAGACATGCTAATATAGTATATATATTTTTTGGCGAAGCAGTATGATTTAAATTTTAAACCTTAACCGGCCTGGTTGAAAAATATATTAGCAGAAAATATAATATGTATTACATATATAACTTTAAAATTGCTTTAGTAAAAGTTGGATCTACGTGCATTGTAAAAAACGTCGCGTGTGTATCGATATAAATTCCAATTATCGATCAAATCCATTGGAAATGAAAACGTCGTAAAATGAGGTGAAAGTAACGATACGATATACATCTGACAAAGCTGTTATCGTGATTTATCTAATCTAAACCCACTTTCGTGTTACGTGTTGTGTGGACATTGTTCATGAAGCTTTTATGGCATTAAAATTATTTTTAAAAAATCCCAATTTTTGTCGCACTTTCGAAGTACTCATTGGCTGGTAGCATAGAAATACTTTATTAATATCAATACCTAGATATATCTTTACAAGTTGCTACGAGTCTATTTGTAAAAGTAGAAATAAAATACGAAAGTAAGTAATAAAATATTGCTACTAAAAATTATTCTCAGTCATAGTCTAGTCAAATGATGTTTTAAGTCTGTCTAGAAAACTTGCGAAAACTTTTACTTTCAAAAACACTAGTTGTGTAAAATCTGTGATATTTGTTAGGTAATGAATTCAAGTCTTATTTAACGTATTTAACCATTCAAAAACCGATTATATCTGATGTAACACATATTGAAAGATATTTTTTTCTATTCTTTAGTGTTTTAAAGGAAATAAAATCGAAATTATTAATTCTGTATGGGTGGTACTTTTGAGATGAGACGAAAATTCATAAAATATGAATAGACCTTAAATGGGGCATACGTTTGAACTTTGTTCAGCTTTGTTCATGGTACAAGTCTCACAATTTTCTATAGAAAAGTATATAATGATGGCGACAGGTGCATAAACGTGCTCGCTCAGGCGTCGACTCCGGATGTAAGGGGACTATCACACCAATACATTTGCACATAAAATACTAGATAGGTTAAAGTAATAAAAGTGTTTTACTTATGTGGAAAGAATCGTTTATCGAAGTGGCGCCTTGCAAATATCAATGATCTCCAAATTCTCTTTCAAAAGCGACACTCTGGCACTCGAAACCTGTTTTATGTGTGGGCGTATCGTGGGTTTGTTGGGAGAAACAAATTGTAGATTACGGTCTGTTGTTTACAATTTCGTGCTTTCATATCTGCGTTCCTGGTTAATGTAAATGTAAAAACAACTTCAGGACAATGTGATTATAAATTATTAAAACTGCCGTTTTGGAAGGTTTTTCTTTCTCGTTTTATAAATCGAAAAATAATATTCTAGACTATGTAAACTCTTATTATAAGAACAGATGTATATAGCGTCAAACTATGGCTTCTTTTATCTGTTTAAATCAAAGAATGGGCTCACAAGGAACACCTTGACACGGTGAGTAAGTAAATTGGCCCATTTAAGCTCGTTCTTAATATTGCAAAGCCTGTTAGTCTGCTCCAATGAATTCAGAAACTGAATTAAATATAAATCTTTATAGCACTCCTGCACAGCCTCTGTGTATTTTTAATAGCGGTTAAGGGCATGGAGATCCCAAATTAAACCCTTTTAAATTTCCATTTTATGCTTCGTTAGGTCAGCCCGTTGGTACAAAAGGTTTTTAATCATATGAACACCAGAATAGAATATTGTAAATCTAATATGGCTACGCCCGTGTCCCTTCCACGATCATTTAGCGACAGTGACTTCGTAATTTTTATTCACCTCATAACTCAGCTTGGTCGTAGGAATATTGATGAGCTAACCTGCCTGGCGCTGAAGGCTTCGATATGCCACTATTGTCTTGTTGCTCTTCGTCATTTGCATTTGATAGGATGTCATCCTTTTTTGTAATAAATTAGTATGCATGCCTATTGTAACATCGCCAGCAACATAGCGTGGCCATGTCACTCAATTTGCGTGATTTTATTACGAACGAATAAAAAGTTTTCATGTGCGTATTAAAAATAAGATAGAATTATAGAATATAGTGTTTTAATTGGCAAGAGAATAATTTATACAAGCGATTTCTAATGCATTTAACATTGATAATCAACTAATCGTGAGAAGTGCATTGAGCAGATTAACTGGATTAAATTACTTCTCCAGATGAGGACGCGATGACTACGAAGATAAACGGATCTCTTTAACTAACAGTTTTGGTTTAGTGGCTGGGTTTCGCATCGCTTATTCAAAATAATTGGCACTATTGGCACGGTTTCGAAAAATACATAATATTTTTATTTTATTTATGGATATGGATATTTATATAAAGATAAAATATATTTTCATTCAGTTTTTTACGTTTATTTTACTTGTTAATTGTTCAATATTTATTTTTTTGTTACAATTAAGTATGTTAAATCATTGGTCTTTTTGCGTGAATGAAAAAAGAAATCAATTTATTAGGTGTGTTGTTTTAAAAACAATTCTGTTTTTTATATATTTTTAACTCTCGTAATTCTTCAAAAGCATTTAACCCATATTCAGTCTGGAAAATACGCAACAGAATCTCTATACAATTGCTAAAGAAATTAAATTTATGTACCATACATATATTTGTAACATGATTTATTATAAGACATAAATTTTAGTGACATCTTTATTAATTTTGCAGAAATATAAGTAATTATCATATAAATACCAAAGTACTTATTTAATTACTTTAGCAATACAGCGGTCAAGAAGTGAATGGGATGTCACAATCAAATATATTATATTGAGAATTCGTAAAGTATGTTTTAGCTGGGTTGTACGTCTTTAATTAGATTGTTTGACTGGTCCAATTAAAAAACCTGTCAAATAGATCAAGATAGATATAGAGCTGTTCTCAAGCTGTTCTCAAGCTGTTCTCAAGCTGTTCTCATATCGCCCTTTAAGCTATCGCCGACTGCAGTCTTCGCAACCTCAATATCTAACATCCAGTTAACAACTGCTTTGTACTTAAACATTTCAAACAGGGCTGCCAATAATAAGTTTTATATAACACTGAAACTTGAAAAAAAAATCAAAAAAAATTGCAATTGAAAGACGAACCATAGCTTTATTTTAAGTGTTTGTTTTAAAACTATATAATATTTATATATTTTAAATGAATATAAATATTTTTGCGGATACTTTAGCATCATTGCTTGCCGTCATCATTGTTTTGGCAATGATTTTTTTATGTTTCGTTATTTATATTTAAAATCTTAATTATTTTCTTGTATCAGTGACGATGACCCTATCATAAGCGCTATCTTATGTCGGTCTATCAATAGCTCGATAGCTCTTAAAGGCGTGCTTTCTTAGCCCTTTGGTTGTGTAATTTTGTTTTATGTTCTCAGTTGAGCAATTCATATATTCACAGTTACATAACAGTATTCATTTTAAAGAATGTCTATTGAATTGGTAATTATCATTTTATTTTATCAATACGAAATATCGAGTATCGACGATTTGATTTCATCTATAAGCTATTATTAGTTTCCTAATGATTTATCAACTAATGTCCATCAACATCAATACAAAATTAAATTATTGGTTGTCATATCAATCAAATAACAGTTTTTATTTTATAGTGACGTCATCAAACAAAACGTCACTTATGTAATTATTTTTAATGTAAATTAAACGGATATTAATTCTTGAACGCCAGTTTTCAATTCATATTGCATACAATATTTTTTGGTGTACGAAAACATATCATAAATAAGATTGGCTAATAAACATCTCATATATAATAGTGTATTTTATGGCTTAGACATTTGAACTTAATTTTCATAAATTGTCAAAGCCATACGCTATGATAACTCATAATATGAAACAGCTGTTTGTAACATTATGGTGTTTATTATCATTAAGTAGAGGTGTCCATTATATTTAAATACTAGAACTGTGTGGTGGCCTTTCAGTATATTTTCCTTCACTGTATGTGATCTTTAATATATTTACTCGTAATGATATTGAGACACAATAAATACTATCAAAAACGAGTTTATTGAATCGCCTTGACCTATTCGCGATAAATTTTAATTATAACGAATAATTTTACACATTTTATCTAACATCAAATTAAAAATATAAATTTAAAAGTAACGTAAATTTTATGTCATCAGTGTAATTTATATAAAAGACACGTTAGGTATCTACTCATAAAATTGGTTCAAGTTTCAATATCGTCGTTTCACCGTTTGGTTTACTCTATTTGTAATATAAAACTTTTTGAAGCTTCGAGGATGTTGAGTCGAAGGAACTGCGTTTCCTTTCGTTTCCACTTGGTTGGCTGCGAACTCTGGTTCCATGACCGCTAGGACGCCATTGTTTCAACTTTCGAGACCATGACTCATACTCAATATGATTAAATTGCAACATTTATATACTGTCAAAAATTTTATTTTGCTTCCAACATTCCCGTATATCCGTGGTGACGTAATATCCGCATCATTAGCTCCATAATTAATTATAAGTGGTGCTACTTGGAAGCGAGCACCGTTACATTACTATAAACACTCTCCCATTAGCCACACTAAAATTGTCAGTCCAAAATAGATTTAGGTCGCACACGAAAGAACTATAAAATACAAATTTAGACTATACAATGTGTTTTGCATGTGCCATGGTATTATTTTTAGGACAAACATGTTCATGTAGCACGTTTTGTAATAAAATAATTAAGTACCCATTCTGAATCGACTCAACAAACATTGTTAAAAAATATTAATATACCAAGATGTGATTATTTTACTTTATAATCTTATGCATTGATATGAGATTTAAAAATAGCTTTGTCGTGTGCCCTACTAAATCAGATCCCCTTCTGTATGTCGATGCGCCGGCGCATGTCATAAGAGCAGCCCCTCACACGTGCTTAATTATGTATTCAAATCGACTGCAAACAAAATGACAAGATATGGAGATAAGATGTCTTAGAAGAGGATGTTATTTTAAAAACATGGCATGTGTTTGTGACTTTACACTCGACCTTTTTTGTGTTTTGAATTGAAGAAACACTTATAGTTTTATACGTACAATTTATTTGGCTATTTGTATGTATAATATAATATATAGAAGGAGCATTAACATTAGAAATTACAATTAAATATAAATGTTACTTAATGCAAAATTTCATAAATGTCTAAAAGTCAATGAATTCAGATTCAAATCTACAGTAAGAAGATGGTTTTATAGGTTCCTCGGTGTATCGTTCAAAGTTTGTCGTGTCACCGGGATGTTTAAATTTCGGAATGAATGGCGGTGGAAATTTGCAATTTAAAATCGCATCCCATTCTATACCCTTAAACCATTTGTGATTCTTGAAATCCATGACTCCGTTTTTCATAACACCGAAACGCTTACTTATGTCTACTTGAAGTGTATTCCTTATAATGTCTCTTAAATCACTGTTAAAGCTTGAAGGACATCTATATTTTCCAGCGACTATCTTTTCGTAGGTTTTCATGGGATCATTTGCATAGAACGGTGGATAGCCTGCATTCATTTCATATAACAGAACACCAAAAGACCACCAATCTACAGAAAATCCATAACCTTTACTCAATATTAGTTCTGGTGCCAAATACTCTGGAGTTCCACACAAAGTCCAAGTCCTACCTTGCAGTACCTTACAAAAACCAAAGTCAGTTATTTTTAGGTAGCCATTCCTGTCAATCAATATATTTTCAGGCTTTAGATCTCGGTATACCAAATTGCAAAAGTGTAAATATTCTAGAGCTAATATAACTTGACTTGCGTAGAATTTAGCCAGAGACTCTTCAAATTTCTGCATTTTTCTAAGGTGACTAAACATTTCACCTCCAGCAACGAATGGCATTATAAAATAAATATAACTGTTGTCTTTGAAACTAAATTCCATCGATACTGTAAATGGAAATCTTATAGCTTCTAAAATTCGTTTTTCGTACAGCGTGTGATCGACTTGCTTCATTTTCATAATTTTTTCTTTCTCCAAAACTTTCATGGCATAGAATTTTTGTGTTTTATTATGTTTTAATAATATAACTCTACCAAATGCACCGGTTCCCAGTGTTCGCACACGTTCGTAATCAGAAAATGTATGAGAATTAGTTTTTTTGCACCATCGGTTTTCAAATTCCTGTTGTAGTTTGCCAAGGTACTTGCTATACTCCTGTTGTTGTTGTGGAGTGTAGCCGTCTCTCACCTCGGTTGTATTTGATGTACTAGCTGCTTTATATGACATATTATCTTTGTTTATTCCATAGCCTCTACTAGAACTCATTTTGTCCGGGGTGTCAATGTGATATTTGAATATTTGGTGCGTTGCCAACTAGATTTTCGTACTTATAGAATGCAACTCAACGGAAACGTACGATTTACGACATTCGAAGACTTCGATTTTCTTGTAGTCTTTGTGAAATTAGGGGAATTTTTCGCAGATACATTAAAGGTAGGTGCGGGGTGACGGGTGAACGAACCAGGTGTGGGGGAGGGTGTTGGGATCAGCTGTTTTTGGGGTGAAACGGCATGTCGCGCCGGCCGGCGTCTCGGCAGGCGTATTGATCAGCCGGCACGTGGAACTTATTATATGTAGTGTACGTTTCCCGTTACTTATTCCCCTTCGTACAAACAGTAGTATAAATAAAATCAATACTAAGGACATACTCCAAGAGTTGGAATAGCAACAAATGCAGTATATACTCAGACACTGAAATAAATCTTATCTTATAATTTTTATTATTTAAATCTTCAATTAATGTGACCAATATTAATTATAACATACATAATTATTGTTGACATCACAGCGTGGCTCTGACAATATCCAAGTTAATTTACATATTATATTATACAATGTACCTATTTTGTTATATTTTTTTCTTAACAAGGCAAACCTTGGCAGATGTAGAGCAAGAGATCTGTTAGGTTAATGTTTATGTTGGCTAAAAAGTCGGCGCCCTGGCAATTGTGTTAACTTTATGGAATGTAAAATATAACATTCGTATGAGTTCGCTCGCCCTCGTTAGAAACGAAATGTCTGTCTTGTGATAACATCCGAATATATTTGAATAATATTTACTTTGATATGACGGTGACTTAATCATCTGTGATAGAAATGTTTTGATTAAATATGACTTGTTAGAATTGTTCAGTGTTTCGTTGACATCATTTTTGTATTTACTCGTTTCTTGATGTTTATAAATTGAATCCAGTATGATGTACTAAAGTTGTCCTTATTGTCATTTTATTTATTGAAGATGATTTCCTTAACAGCTATTAATGTTTGTATAAAATGTAGTACAAAGTCTCGTATGACACATCCGACATTCCTCAATATTGAAACCAGGCGATTTTCAATAGTATTTTTTGTAACATTTATGTTTTAACATAACTAACAGGTATATTAAATGTTTTTAGAACGATAAATGTGGTTCATAAAATCACACTCCATTTCGAATTTGGACAAAATAAATATTGTTATCATTTCTGTATTTTCTTAGACATAAATTAACTGTTTTTAACTCTTCCGTGCCCTATTTCTGTAAAGATTTCGTTAATTAAACGACTTTGATGACCGAATCGCTGGCTGTCCATTTATATAACTTGTGAAGCGATACATTTAATGTGATGTACTGCGTTCATTTATTTTAATTATTATTATAAGATATTCTTCATATTTTGAAACGAGAACTCTAAATCCGGTGCTTAATTTACAATTTTGTAATATGTACTTACATAATAGTTATATTAACAATATTGACCTCTGGCAACATATTTCTTAAAGATGAACAATCAATTTTTAAATGACACTTTATTCGTATGACAGAAAATAAATTGTTTTTCTAATGTTCGCAATTGTGTGACCCTGATGTAGATGATCGTACTCACTGTTAGTAAATGTAACAATACATTAATTTTCCAATCGTCGGTCAAGGTTGTGGAGGCCCCAGTCCCAAAGACCGCTGTAGACTTGGCACGACAACTCTGTACAAGCGCATTATATTACGTAACAATCTAGTCTCGAACATAACGCAAGATTCGCAAACACATAATATTTCAAATATCGTTGAGATAAGTAACGTATATATTTGAATTTTTAATCTGACATAAGATGTTTATTCGTGTTACCAACTAAAACTGGTTATTTTTTTTTGTTCATCTATATTCTAGTGCCAAGTACGTTTAAATAAGCTCATTAAAGCCACGCGGTAGTGACGGTTATTTTTCAAGGACGCTTCCAGTTGTATGAACTTTACACCACGTTATTGGAATTTCATTTTCTCTTATTCTTATAGAATTAAATGTGTTTTTGTTGTGATTTTTATTTTCGTCGTATGTCAAAAAATTGTATACTTTCTCTTAAATTATAAAACTTAAGTCTAATAAATTGGCTTATGTAAGAGTGTTTTGGCATGCCGTCTGTTGACATCTAACGAATTAAAAAATGACCGAGACGATATATGCAAAACTCAAGACTCAAAGCCGAAATTTATCTTACAAACATGCTAGATGTTTTGCCAAGTTCAAATAAATCTAATTTTACAATATTCTGAATTCCGTCTACGGACTGTAGTCTGAAACAACAATGAAGGATTCAAATTGAATTTCAGTTTAAACATGCACGTCTATATATTGTTATAATTAAACGCAAATGGTACTTGGGAAGTACAAAAGGAGAGATTCTAATGTTACAGACCACTCACTTGTCTCATCTGCGAGCTGGCTGAGCGTTTAATTGCGAAATATAGATTGTGGACGCAGAAGGCTGAGAACAAAGCATATGTGAACGAACATTCGTATTCTCATATTCGCGTTCTAAAATATGGGTTAAGATTTTTATTACCACTTGGAAATTCAATGGCCTGAAAGTTGCATAAGATAGGTTATCAGAATCGCGAGAATCAATAAAGATATCTGGAACCTAAATAAACAATCGTATCAAGATTAAAACAGGACATAGCTATCGTTTCCCTGAATCATCATACTTACGTCACTTATAAGGGAATTTCTGTATAAGTCGTTGATTTTAATCTGCAAAATATTACATATAAATGAATTTATTCTGGTTCGAAAATTACGATTGAAAGTTATTTTAGAAAAAAGTAGTATATCATAAATATGTAATAAATGCGCGTAATCAGGAAACCATAGTTTTATTTATCTAGATATCGTCATAAAAAAACAGTTTGTTTTCTAGTTAAAAAGCAACTTGGAATTAATTTGAATTACATCTAGCAGACAACGACCTGGAGTAAAACGAGAGCTTTCATACTTAAACTTCTTTCGAGCGGTAGCCCGGGAGAGACGAGTATTTCTGTACCCTATAAAATATCCTTTGACGCATTATTCTAAGTTGTATACATTTAATAGCCTATGTATATTCACTAAAGGTAAACTTAGATGGAAATAGTTTGTGACCTTAACGTGGCATTGAAGTGTAAATACACTACACTATATGGTGCCCTTTTGTTGCTCCCTAGTGCCCTTCAGCGTACCTAAATATATCTTAATATCACACTAAGCTTTCAAAGTAATCAATAAAATGCTAAGACTTTGCCATGGTTCGAACAATGATTGATTTGACTTGGCCATTTAGAAAAGTTGCTATAGAACATTGTTAGTAGTTTAATTTATTAGAGTGTATGAACACGAAGATAGATTTGTTCCATAATTCATCTTTTAGTTTATAATCTTCGTTTGTTACATATACTAAGAGTAATGTTTATAACGTTTCCATCGAATGCAGTCAATATCAGCTGTGTTTACGTTATCTTGTTAAGATTAACGGTCGCCTGCTCGGCTTCGTTACATCATCGAAAAACTGTACTGTTTTTAGCTTTAGAGTTTTAATTATAATATAAGTTCCCATTTATATATTTGTTTAGAATTTTGTGAGATAAGGTTTTCTTTATATGTAACTGTTGCTCGGCAGTACAAGGATTATTGTTACGGAGATATTATTCATTTACTGAGTCACTACTCGGTCTATAATCATGATAGCCGGCAGGAAATAGCGCTATATCATTAATTAATACTGGATAATATCCCGTTTACATACACTTAATACCAGCTTTGAGTATTGTAAATAGAATGTTGGTTCTAGCTTTCATGTAGCTTTGATGATTTGATACATTATAACGTTCCTTATCCTTCTATAGGTGAGGGCTCGTGATTTGATTTTGTTTCTTAAATTGGAATTTAAAGGTATATTATTATTTCAGCAACGCCATCGACATTACAACACACGATTTTTTTACATTTTTTATATCCTAATAGATTTCGGAGATAATAATGTATTATTCAATACTGTTCATGTTTTAAAAAGTAGAGTTTCTACTCTACTTCTGTTCTATTTCTTGATATTGAAGTCGGATATAGATAAAGAAATGACGAAAGTTCTGTAATGCTAACAAACCATAGTTTTTAAATTATTTAAAAAGTTAGCACTTTTATGGTTTTTATGAAATTATTATATCTAAATAGAATTGTTGCTGTTAAACTCAAGCTTACAGTCTCATTTTTAGTAAAATAATGAGAAGATTTGATGTTAAACTCCTGACACATATATACATATATCACTACAAACCAATCTCAAGCCATATCAGAGTTTCAGCTGAGCAGACTCGATGCCAACGAACCTATTAAAAGTTTCCGTAATGACGTATATATAACTATGTAAAAACTACGCCTCCTTATGGTGCTTTTTATTGCAACGTCAAAAATACTTCATCAATCTTGTGTTATAGAAATTAAACTACATTTATTATCTTAGTTTTAATTGAGAATTAGATATTATATTTTTTTACAAAAATAATGAATAAAAATTGAGCTAAGCCTTTTTTTTAATTTAATTATTTGCTTCTTGTAAATATAATTATTCATGTACATCTTAAAATCAGAAGCTATTAAATTTAATGGTGTGTGGATTATGTTTTGTTCTAATAAAAATGTATTTAAAACTTCTTGAACAAAGATCACCGTTCATAACTCAAGTGAAATCTTTATTTATTTATTTATTTTAGTCTAGTGTAAAATTCATTAGTTATATTTAGTTATACTGAGAGCGTCGCGTATTACGATCTTTTCATGGTTAACCATTAGTGTGATCGTAAAACGAGAGTTACTCATAAAAGGATATATTGTTTCCCTTAGTACTTTATACGTCCCCTACGAAACAGATATTGGCTAGTAAATTACTATGTGTGTAACTATATTAGTCTTTGGAAACAAATAACAAAATTCTATAATAATGAAAACCTTTGTTCCAGATTTATCCAAAAATCGCTTCAGTGAAATGCCAGAGGAAGTGACCACATATATATACTTAGAAAAGTTATTATTATCACAGAATATAATAAGAAGTATACCAGATAGTGTGGGAGGATTGCAGTCGCTAACATATTTAGATCTCAGGTAAGTAAGGCTATTGAAAAACAATTTGAATTGTACAAGGAAAACATGAAAACAATGATGAAATAAATTGAGGCGTGATAAAGGCTTATTTCTTTATTAATAAGTCCGAAAAAATAAATAACAAAGTATAAAAATTTTAAATCTATCACCAAATTTATAACAAAATAAAACGACATGTTTTTATAACAACTATTTCACAAGACTCATATTATTTTGTGTATCATCTGTGACTGATAATTAGCGTTTCTTAACACTTGCATGATGTCCATCTTGATGTTCAACCTCATCTCCTCGGGTACAGACTTCAGATGTGGTAGTAATGATAGGAGGAAAAGTTTATCAGGGTCCTCTTGTTCGGTCCTACTCTGGCTATCGACGCTGGCGAATGCGAATTCGTCAATAACCGGCTTGTATGTGGGTTGTTTGAGTGGTATTTCTATCGTGACTCCGTCGTTTGACCTACAGTCATCTTTATCTATGTCATTATCGTCGGAACTGTCCCTGGCGAGTTTAAGTTTCTTCCTTCGTCTCCACGATGTTTTTCTGGACGTTCCCTCCTCGGATTCGCTGGAACCGGTTTCGGTTTGCGGTACTTCTTTTTGGTTCTTAATTAAGAATGATAAATGTTTGCTATATATGTACGGCCTTTTAGTTCTGTTTGGATGACTGACGTATTTCTGGAAGCAGTCCCGCATGCTCTTCCATTTCTTCTGAAGCTGCAGTTCTAGGATAATACAACTATTATAAATTACCAATGATATTTAATAATGTCATAATCATAAATAGATTTTAATTTGTATTAGAAACTCGGCTACCATATAAAAAACTCTAGTTGACTAACTTTTACTATATTATGTGATAAGTAAACATACTTATCAGTAGCCCAATTTCTTTTGATAATAACGTACTAATGTTAATGTTCAATAAAACAATTTACCCAATTCCCTCCTTTCGCTCTTCGATATCTTGACATCGCTCGACATGAGCGCGTTTACAACTTCCGTCCATAGCTTGTGACGAGTGCTTTTAGTTCTATAGTCAACGTTATCGAAGTCCCATATACCTGGACGTTTTTTAACCTCCTCTATGAGACTTTCTGGGTCGTATTCGAACTGCATCATGGTCATAAAATGATAATATAAAGACGTACAAACAATGAGAGCGTTAACCGTCCGCTTGTATACACGAGCGGCGTGCGCCGAGCGACTGACGCGCGGCGGGGGGAACGCGGCGTACTTTACAAAATGGCGCCGCGGTTTGTGTAAAGTTACGGTGACCAACATCCTTGATTAACAGAACATATTTTATTTCTCTTTTCATTCATTATTTATGTCATAAATATAAATTCTACAATCACAATGCGGTTTTTGTTACATTCGGATCGGTTAATAAATATTTTTATATTCCACCATAAATATGTCTCTAGGTAAAAACATATAACAAACGATTGTTATAGATGTTATTGTACTATTCTTAAAATTAGTCGTCTTAGGTTTTATAATATTTGAAAATTTGCAATGTGGATTTTAAACTGGTTTTTAAGACGTCTTCGTAGGTATAACATGCACTAAGAAGTATGGTCACCGTTGTATTATACGTATCGAACTGCGCGGACGGTGGGGGAACGCGCGGATTGCGAACGCTCCGACGATAATATGAGGCGTCTTTTAAACGATCGCTGTGAAACAAACACTATTGTGTACCTTATACCAAAACTTGTTAAAGAAATAATTACTTTGAATTATCTCTATTTATTATTAGTCTTAACTATTTAGTCTTGTGGTCATTTAATTTTAATATAATCATTATTTACGTCTAATCGAACTCATTTATTCATCAATATACTTGATAGGTATCTTTCATTAAAATAGATTGCTTATAAAGATCGTTATTATTCAAACTGCGTTTGTCAGAGTATTTACTGTTTACCTATTCTGTTTACATATTTCATGTACTTCAAATATTGAAGATTTTAATAAATCATACTACTTATAAATAATAATCTCAGCAATGTCCAAATTATAAACGATTTTTTATAAATGTCAGAAGTCATTCCTAGTAATATTGAGTGTAAAAAATATTGTATAAATTATTAGCCTGGTCACGGTTATCAAACTATTTTTTGTTATACATTTTAGTAGACTGTGGTCAATGAGGTTTTGTTTATATAGATATGTGTTTAGTGTCTGTCAATAACAAAAAATCGGTTAGACGTAGTTACGGTTATAGATAGATTCGGTTACAGTTTCGAATGGATTCGGTTACGGTTATGCATAGTTTCGGTTACGATTTCGGAATTAATTATTTTTATATGGGTTTTACAAATATGGAACTAGGCTCCATATATTTTTTCTTAGGGTGTAATTAATTATTAAATCTTCCAATTATTTTAAAAATAATTTGAAAATGAACTCCGACTCTTCTTCAGGGTAACATACGTTTCCAAATTATGCGGGTTATCAAGACATAATTATTTTCTTTACAAAGGAAGCTTAATTTTCTTGTGCTTTTAAGTAACGAAAAACAGTAAAAAAATTCAAATTTCTTCATTACCACCTAACCAGTAGGTAGGTACTTTATATTTCTTAAGAATTAAAAATAAAAATTCGCACTAACAAAACTTAAATGTTTATTTTTAAACTCTATATAACCACATTCTTATCTTAATGATTGAATATCGCGATTTTTTATAAAACCGTTGATGAGAACATTCTTTTAAATTGACGCATAGCATACACACTACGTTCTCGAGTAATTAAATATTTCATTCTTAATATAGACCGGTCTTCTTTGGATATATTATTGCGAATGTAACATAAACATTATAAATTATAACAAATTCTTATGAAACAAATAATAAAAAGCAGCTTCCTATAGGTATGCATAGTCCAAGTGTACGTCACTAAGTAGGTGTTACCCATTTCTTATTCAACTTCCTACATTAATGCTATTATTATCAAGAAAAACTATTAATGTATGTAGCGTGGTGATGACAACTGGGAGTAAGCATAATGATTGTAACCTGTCATTTACGATGATGAACAGAAAATAGCGTAACTCTGTGACAAATTAGATGAATGTAATAAAAGCATAGCATTTGGATTCTGTATACGCAGTACTTTATTTTTCAATTGATTCATAATTTATTCAAAATATATGTGTTTGTATTAAAAATGCCAGATTTTTTTTTAATTTTTTGAGGTAAGCCAAAAAAAATTACAATATTATATCAATAAACTTTATTAGTATAGTAGTAGGCTTATTTAAAAATACATAGAAAGACATGTAGATTTTATAAAAAAATAATTTCTTATATTTTTGCCTTCACTAGTACAAAATTTACACTGAAATTCTTATACATTGTTTTTATAAAGTACTCTTAACCGCACTGCACTTCTTTAGAGAATCATATTTAACACCAAGTCGTAGTTATATATTCGCGTTGGTCAAATTATGTCGTGTCCAGAAACCGATTGATAATTTCCATTTCTCAGTACTTGCATGATGTCCATTTTGACGTTTAATCGCATCTCCTCTGGTATAGTCTTTATATGTGGTAGAAGTGATAAAAGGAAAAGTTTGTCCGGATCTTCCTGTTCTGTTCTATTCTGTGTGTCTACACATGCGAAAGCGAATTCTTCTGTTGCATTTTTACCATGCCCACCGCTGTGTTTGACTGGCACTTCCATCGATACTTCCTCGTTTGATCGATAATCATCGTTGTCGATACTTTTCACGGCTTGATACTCCTCACTAAAGCCCTCTTTCTTGAGACTTAGTTTTTTCGTGGGTTTCCATACAGTCTTAGTCCGACCTTCCTCTGATTCGCTTGAACCGGCTTCGTTGTTTTGCGTGTCCTTTGAGTCTTTGAATAGGAATTGTAATTGTCTGCTATATAAGTATGGACGTTTTGATTTGTTAGGATTCGTTAAGTATTTCTGGAAACAGTCCCTGATGCCTTTCCATTTCTTCTGAAGTTGTATTTCTAAAATAAAAACGTTTTTAGTTGTATCACTATAAAAATCTAACAATTATATTTTGATTAAAACAAACAATGATATTTATAAAAGTTCATAATATAAATACTCTTCAAGACAAACTACTTATACATATATAGGAATTATAAAGACACTATATACTATACATAGTAGAATTGCAGATAAATGCATTTTAAGCAATATATTTAATAAATATTTTAATATATTAACTTATTATTATTTTTATACAACAAATACATAAAGTATAAGTAATATTATTTCAGTTAAGTATATGTTTTGTCATTATAATAATTCTGTCACCCCTTTTTCTTACCTAGTTCTCTCCTCTCGCTCTTCGTTATCGTAACATCGTCTTTTATAAGTTCGTTCACAACATCCGCCCACAACTTGTGCCGCGTGCTTTTCGTCTTGTATTCTATATTATCAAAATCCCATATACCGGGACGTTTTTTGATCTCCTCTATGAGACGTTCTGGGTCGTATTCAAACTGCATGGTCACCATTGTATGTAAATAATATATATGTCTATGTTATGTTTGTATAACGTAATGGCTTTCAACACGGACAGCGTTCGACGAGCGACTGACGCGCTGCGAGGGGATCGCGGCAATGCATCGTTACAAAATGGCGTCGCTTAGTACTAGTAGGATGACCTTGTAGTTCTTAAAACACAGGACTTTTTGTTTTACATTTTAAATATTAATATAATTAATTCTGGTTTCGTATTTTTTTTTATTGTTGCATTGTAATTTTTCGTTTATTTTATTCTCTTACTTTAAATTTCGCTTTATACGCTTTTTACGCTATGTTCTTGTATATAGATAGTGAAATGTAGGGGAAGGGAAACCATTATTATATATTTTCTAAATTAATTATTGATTGGTGACATTTTCAATATAAACTAAAAATTTTCTCTAAATTAATAATTGGTTGGTAATTTTTTTCAATATAATCTAAAATATTTTTTAAATTCTGTACTATAATAAAATGATGGTCACATCTCTATACAAACATTAGTAGCGAGGGGAACGCTCGTGTTTCAAGCGAGCATATCGCTGGCTGTTAGAACGCTCAATCCAATAATGTTAAATGATCATATTAATTATCATTAGTTTTTAAAAGTACACATGTATTTTTACTATTGAGGTAATAATATATACAAATAAAAAACGTACGTCATAAAGTTAAATATAAGTAGTTTTGAACGTCTTTTGTATTTTGACAATCTTGTCTATTCCATTCTGCGTGACTTATACATATAAGTATAAGCTTATTATTAAAAATAGTATAACTTAAAAAATATCAAGCAGAGGTCAGTTACAGTGCATAGGCTAAATAAGTTTTAAATCGACATTATTTGAAAAAATGTTTCAAACATGTGACCCATAAACGGTTAAGGCGCTGTATAGTCGCGCCGGCGCACGCGCGGCTATTCATGCCGGGGCGCCGGCGTGGCGCGACGCGTCTTTTGTTAGTTTTTCGAATAGAGATTTGCAGGTTTAAAAATTAGGTATATCGATAAATATTCTATTAATAGTTTCAATATTTCTATAAATTGTTATGCTTTTCACATTAAAATAATTTCATTTAAAATAACTTTTATTAATAATAAATATTATTAATCAATATCATAATTTGGAACTTCTTCAGGTAAATTAATTATGTTGTATTATTAGGATAAATCGTTAATCTACTTCTGTTAAAAATGGTGTTTTACAATCAAAAATAATATTAATGTTTGATATTTCAAAATAAGTATCGAAATAATATGAATATTAAGTATTTATTTATTGTTATGATTTTTTAAATATCGATATTTTCATTTATCGATATTTTTTATTCGAGCCTATGAAGCCCTTTTAATAAAAAAAAATTATTAGTTAGTTCCTCATGGAAATTTCTTCCGAGTGGATTAGTTTTAGTTTACGGTTTTATAAAATTGTGTTATTTTATAAAATGTACTCCAACCAGGAATATTTCAATACGTTAATGCGTCTAGGGAAATGTGATTGTAATTATACGGAATTGCGTAGACTTTATGACGAACTGTTTGCTTCTCCAAGAAACATACCATTACCGTCACTTAAGACATTTCAGCGTCTTCATATATGCATATACAATTTCGGAAATGTCGATGGTCGTGAACAACAACGTGCTAATGCGGGAAGGCCGGGGGTTAAAAATGACGATCTAGAGGAACACATATTAGATATTTTTCGACAGGACCCTACGCAAAGCATGCGCTCGGTGGGACATCAAGTCGGTGTCAACCATACGCGTGTATGGAAAGTTTTAAAGGAAAATGGCTAGCACCCGTATCATCATCGTCGAGTAAATTGATTTGTAACATAATGAAAGTATCGATATTTGAAAAAAAGTGGTATCAGTGAATCGTTAAAGTGATTAAACAATCAAAATAATGTGACTGTACGCTCGAGTTCGTCACTAGTAGCGTAACATTTTGTTACTCTACATATAATAATCATTTAATATACACATAATAATTAATAATATACATAGATACACATAATTATGTATGACAAGCTTAGGATATTAATTTAATTATTTATGTTGTATGTATGCTTTTGGATTGGATTTTGCCTAATATATTTCTTTATGCCGGTTCCCCAATTACATATTATCATAGACCAATGTACGAACATATCTCAATTCAATGATGTTTTTAAATCAGCGATAAATTATCGTCTCGAGTCGTTGCCCTTTAAACAAAAATAGATTTTGGATCTGGCGAATTTCAATTGCCTCTAACTGGAGAGCTTCGGCGTTCATATTGAATGTCATCAATATGTATATGATTATCAGAAAAAGAAACATTTACTATAATAAAGCATTTATAAACAAATTTAAACCCTATTAATTACAATAGTTAATTTAGATCTGATTTTACTAAAATATACGCTTAAAATTAACTAATGATGTTGTATTAAATTTCTTATTAAGTTAACGACCAATGAGATTTATTTATTATTATATGAATTTATCTCATACAGGCATTGAACACAATACATCATCTTTAATACACCACAGTATAAAAAAATAAAATCTTGATATTATAAAAGCTTTGAATATTTTACATTACATTTCGTACAATACTTCGTTGTTATGGTATCCTGATATGAAAACTTTTATTCCTGTAACAAAAAGAATGCATTACGATAACATCGGATAGTAGGTCGTCATAAAGATCACGCGAGGTGAATAGCCGGAGATGTCATGGTCTTTGTATGAAGAGTGAAATGAACCATCAATATACACTTTGAATTTAATACATATTATATATATAATAATTAATGATCTTATATTTATTGTAAACCATCATTTTTTATCTCTTCTTAAAAATGATGAAAATTAATGTAACTCTCATGCATATTAAATTTAATTACATAAGTTTATTGTTATTATGTTAGTACATTTTAATAGGTGTATTTATAACGAAAATTTCCATATATTTTTTACTCGGTGATATCTAGTACGTGTTCCATCTACATGATAACAGTTTTAAAAATGCCGTTACTTCGTTGAAGTGCGCTCTTGTGTGACGGTTCAATGAATAGTCAACACAATCATAGCCATACGATTCATTCATGACACAGACTGACACAATTATGTCGCGACATATCCAAAGTTTAAGTTTACTGATCATAATAATGTTCTGATTTATTTCAATTTTATATTAAAAATATTTATTGCATCGTACGCATATAACGGCGGCCACAAGATAGATGTAGAAGTTTTATTCCTTTTGTTGGACCGTCTTAGAATGTTACCGAAATAGCCGCTATAATTTTATAGAACCATGTCTCGGAGTTGTTAACGGGTGGCCCGTTATTCCGTGAACCAAAACAATGTAAGAAGATTGAAGTCAGTTTGTAAACATTAGCCACTTATCTATAACATGTTTCTTTCAACATGAGGAAGAAGTCGTTTTACTTACAACCTACACGATAACTATTACTTAGTTGTAAAGATACTGTGACTTTATAACTACCTACTGTATATATTTTTAGCGTCAATAGAATTTTGGTAATGAAGCCATTTTAAGTACCAGTCGGTGCGTGCTAACAATGGCAATGTAACCTGCTATCGAAACGCCATTTAGCCACACGAAATCGCAAAACACAGTCATGAAAACACTCAACCATAACTAACGGTGCGCAAGCGCATTGTCGCCCGCGCCATGCCCATGACGGCATGCTTGAAAAGAATCGAAAACAGAACGCATGCCAAAATTGTAAGAGTTGCGTAACATAACAATGCTGTTGTTAACTCTGTTCTACTTACCCTACAGTACTTTTGACAATCTCGAATAGCACATTGTCATTCCGTATAGACTATAGTGAAAACAAAAATGTTGTCTTTGCGAATGCAATGTGAGAGTACGTGAAATAAAATATTTCTTTTTAAACGTCAGGTTTTTTGAGTTTCAGAAAGTAGAAATCATCACAAACAGCACGTAACTTGCATCGAGCGTATGTTCCTTTAATTTTGTGCTTGTTAACATTTATAAAACGCTTTGAGCACGCATCGCCTATGTCGTTTTACATTTTTATTGAGAGTAAGAGTACTCACGATTGAAAGAGTACTTCATGGGTATACTTTGTATTCGCAATGCTTACACATCTATGTCCAAAATTACTTTTATGTCAAATACAACTCAAAAAGGCCAGATGCCATAGAAATACAACATAAATATTATAACAAGCACTGTAAAATGTATATTTAGAAAAAAATAACCAAAAATTATACAGTACTTGAAAAAGAAAATAATGAAGAGTTATTTATATTATATATAAAATAATTTCAACGTTTCCTACTAGCAAATGATCCCCTCGACCCTAAACTAGGAAGAATCGATATAACAAAGACCTTGATACAAACTGCCGGGACGACAGTAATCTGCAAGAGGGGTGCCAACTAATTCTTTCATATCATATATGTACTTATATATTGAAACAGATGGTTTCATGCATTTATTCTTTCAAATCTATTTAAAATGTCGTACTAATTTCAAATTCCTGTTCACCTGACTCACCTATACTCGACAAATTATATTACAACAGTTTGATTAGGTTCTTCCGTTTGATAAAGTTGTCGACAATAAAATATTGCAGAACTTTCTGATTCTGAAATTGAGATTTCAATTCATTGCAAATGCAGTCCTATACTTAATTAATTATTTATGAATATCAAAGCTCGCCGTTCTCATTGTTTTACTATTACTGACAAGTTCTGTACTAGATATCGATTTTGTTTGGAAGCTCATTCACAGTTTGTTGTTTAAAATAACAGCAAAGAAATTTTTATTTGACGACAAAGAATTTGCGTTCAGAAATTTGTAACAAGTACTTAATACTGGATTGTTTTGAAATTTTTTCATATTATTATTTCTTACACCACAGGAAAGAATCAATTAGATGTTTACTTTAAAGAATGTACAGGTGCGTGTGCGTAATTCTGTTAACTATGTGTTTGGACGTCACAAAACATTATACATAGAAAGCATGCTTACTACAAGTTTTCGACACACTGTATACGAAGAGATTCCCGTTTCTCACTTAATAATCTACCTATTTAAGAATTACAAACTGGAAACGTTACGAATGTGGTGTGAAGATTCATGCTTGTGTAAGCACGCATTTGTTTGTACATTGAGAGTTGAAACATAAAAAAACCGTGAAGCAAGTAAACTAGTTTTTTTGATTGTTTGTATGTCTGTCCTACTTTTCGCGATAATCTCTAAACTTATTCGTTATATTTTATGAAATGTGACACAGGGATATTTTTAGGTTAACCAGCGCGTTATAAACCTTATTTCAAACGAACCAAGTCAAGGGTAATGGCTAACAGAATGATAAACAGTAGCTTTGTTATATTTTAGCTTCCGCTAAGTTGTCCAAATTAGATATATGTTCTGTATACTTTTGGGTATAAATTCGATGTTATTCATATTCGTATAAAATTAATAATACAGATTAGTCTTTTGATCAAGTATTCGAACACAATAGATAAAATAAGATTTATATATGACCTCATTATTTCTACATACACAGCGGTCGTGTTAAATGGAATAGAAATACAAGAATCCAATTAAAGCAAACTAACATTGAGTTATGGTGGTCAGTAGTGGACTGGTTTGAGTCAGAGAGGGCTTATTTGACATTCCCGTGGGATGCCGCACATCATGGGATTGTATTTTCATTGTTGCTCAACCATACTAGCCAATGTTTCCCCATCCATCTCAGTTATGTGACTGCAAATGCTATAGTCGAATATTACGTAAACGACATCTAAAGCGTTATAATTGTACAACCTTATTTGAACCTAGCTCAGGTGTTTAATAACTTTATACCGATTTTTTTTTCTTCTACAGCTCAATATATATGGAAATATTCCAACACCTGCAAACAAAATTATCAATACGGTGCCGATGTATCTCAGTTTGATAGTATCGTAAACGGGATTATATTTGGTTCACTATTTACCGTTGCCCCCAAAAAAAATTAATCTTACGCAATAGATCTTCGTACAGGAATAATCCGATTACACCTTGCAACTTTAAACTTCATTCATGGTAATATGTATGTATGTGTATAATACACATGCTAAGCTATTTTATTAATTAATTAATTAAAATGGTTACGGTAGAACGTTTAGTCGCAAAATCGCATAGCGCATTGCAGGTTCTAGGTATGCAGGAGTTTTATCAATTTCTTTCAATGTACCGTCCGTCGACCCCTGGTCTATTATTAACAGCTGTTTTGAATCCAGTTTCTTGTTACGTCTATGTGTCTAGAGTCTAGACGACCAGCCCTACGCAAAAACTTGCGACACAACCGAGCGTAAAAACAATTTTTCTATACGATCTAAAGAAAATAATTCCTAAATATCGATGATAGATTATTTCATCACAATATATTTTTACTATTCAATGACAAATATCTCTCGTAAGTATAATATAATTATGTAATAGTTTTGATATACAAAATAGATCTGTGACAGGTCCGTTACCCAATACTTCAGCGGTTTTGTGTATACCGGATTAATGTAATTGATATCTACCGACATATGTTATTACATATTCGTTTAATGAGAACAAATATATTATGATAATACTAACTGTATTTTAAGTACATTAGACAATATGATTTATTTGAATGTGATGATTATATTAAATATACATGTTAAGCATAAAGGTTATATAAAGCGCAAGCCTATTATCTCTGCTCTAATAAACAACTCTAACACGATGCGGTGATTCGTGAAATGTGAAAGCATTTTTATGTCGTTCAAGCTAAATATGTGAAAATTCTGAAACTAGCAGTAAATGTAAGTGGACTGTTAACTTTAAGCGTTGTTGTGCATATAAAAAATATGTATTTTCTATTGCTAATAAAGTTATGTAAAGATTTTCAAATCTTTTTTTAAACCAATGATTCTCTTTGTAACACTATATTTATTTATTACTTATAGATTAATTTTGAACTGTTTTCTATGCAATTACATTTGTTTCTGTAACCCGTTATAAGAAAGACATGACCAATTAAATTCTATGTAATAACTACCCATGGATATGGTTATTGATTATCATATTTGAAATCTACTCTATACACTTCTTCGTTGCTATTGATAAGAAATCTTTTAAATAAATTTTAATCCAAATTGTCTTAAACAAACCAAAAAAACTTATTTAAGTCGATTTCACGAACGTTGTAAATCATACTAGTCACAAATCAAATGTTATCAAACAAGATATCTAATTATTTGGCCACGTTAGAACGTTGTTCTTTAGTAGCATCTGTCCAATATCAATATTTAGTCGACCACTCATCATTGAACGTATTAATAGTGTACGTGTGGATAGTTTTACGTTCCAGCCAAGTCTAATTCCACGCGGACTACTCTAATTTACTTTGCCTAGTTATTTATACACTTTATTGTTTGTCTTAACGAATGCCATAATGTTAGCATGATGCCAATCTGTTCTAAAATTATTTGATATTATGTTTCTAAATATTATGTTATTGAACGCAGACTAGGATAGTTATTGTATTAATAGATTGCGGTTATATTATCGTGTCAGGAATTGTGGTTATATTTCTTTGTTCCATTTGTCTTTATAAGTTAAAATAGAGCAGTTGCTTTAGTACCCGATCAGACCTTTAGTTTAGGTTGAACCACAGAGCTTAACTTTCTATAATAATAACATTTCTATCCTCAGTTCAAACCAGCTAACAGAGCTGCCACGTGAAGTATGCCTGATGCCATTGCAAGTCCTCCTTCTCCAGGACAACTTACTCACAAGTCTTCCGAAAGAGATTGGCAAGATGACGTCACTAGCTGAACTAGACGCTTCCAATAATAAAATAACCCAAGTGCCCATGACGTTGGGCGACTGCACAGGTCTACGGTGTCTGGATCTTAGTAACAACCAACTGGGGCTGTTACCATTACGTAAGTTGTAGAAATATTATAGCAATGAAATTTTTAATGAGAATTCCAACAAGGTTGCATTAAACGTTCAACGCTCCTGGGGTGGGGAATAGAAAGACGGAGTGAGAGTAAATGGGAGGGCCAATTGTGAATTTCAAGCAATGTCTATGAAGTTTGTCTTAAAGAAACAATATGAGTTCACTGAAAATTTATTTATGCCCCTTCCTATTTTCATTTACACATTACGAAGTGTTCACTATATTATTAATATATAAATTTACCAAGGATTTCCTTAACAAACCTCTCGCTATCTCAAACCGTATAAACAAACATGATACAGGCTTCAAGTATTTAAACTGTAGCTAGTCTAAATATTTATTAAATTGTTATATTATCCTTCTGGATAAATTGTATATTCACTTAGTAATTTTATTGTATTGTAAAATTATTTTGTGAGTAATACAGTGCAATGCAGTTCTGTCATATTGTTGGATCAAATCATATTACCTATTGACCTTAAAACAAAATTTGAAAAAACTAATAATTTTATTCTTCTTTTTTCATAATTATCTTCAGTATCATCACATCGAAGCCATATTACCTGCACTTAAAGTATTTGTATTTAAATTTTCCACGCAATTAATCATATTCATACTAACTCTGACTGATAAAAATAAATGACTGAAACTACCGTAATTTAATAAGCAAATTTATCTCCCCAGAGATCACATACCTTCGTCTGGAACACCTTGACGTGAGCTGCAATTGTATTTCGTCTTTACCTCTGGAGTTGCGAAATATGACCACCATCATAACTCTGAACTTAGACAATAATCCACTTGTGTCACCTCCAACTACTGTGAGTATTGAATTAATTAAAGGTAGATTGTCATATGAAATGTCGTATGAGTTACTAGGTATAGGTAGGTAGTCATTGATATTTGAAATAAAATGATTGGAATGTTCAGTGCAATTAAAAATTTTATACCCTTACAATAGAATATATAAAACTGGTTGTTTAAACATTTGTCTTTACTTGAAACTAATTTTTTTTTCATTACGTAGGTTTTGTAATTTAATAAAAAAAAAGAATTTTGGTTCTTATAATAACAAATATGATAAAATTAAGAGCAAGTATTTAGTAGCACTGAAGAATTTATTTATGCTTCTCATATTGTTCATAATTTTAATATAAAGAGACTGAATACGAGCTATGAATGAAAATGTGTTAGCAGTATATGCAATAATCCCTACTAATATTATAAATGCGAAAGTAACTCTGTCTGTCTGTCTGTCTGTCTGTCTGCTACGCTTTCACGCCTAAACCACTGAACTGATTTTAATGAAATTCGGTACAGAGATAGAGTTGACCTTGAGAAAGAACATAGGATAGTTTTTATCCCAGACTTTTGAAAGGTTCTCTTGGAAACGCGATATAACCGATCTCCACGCGGCGAAGCTGCGGGCGGAAAGCTAGTAGAATATATAAAACTGGTTGTTTAAACATTTGTCTTTACTTGAAACTAATTTTTTTTTCATTACGTAGGTTTTGTAATTTAATAAAAAAAAAGAATTTTGGTTCTTATAATAACAAATATGATAAAATTAAGAGCAAGTATTTAGTAGCACTGAAGAATTTATTTATGCTTCTCATATTGTTCATAATTTTAATATAAAGAGACTGAATACGAGCTATGAATGAAAATGTGTTAGCAGTATATGCAATAATTATATATAAGAAACACTTGAAAAGTCTTCTAAATGTAGAAAACAAATGATTAAATCTTATACATACACTAGCTTTCCGCCCGCAGCTTCGCCGCGTGGAGTTCGGTTATATCGCGTTTCCAAGAGAACCTTTCAAAAGTCTGGGATAAAAACTATCCTATGTTCTTTCTCAAGGTCAACTCTATCTCTGTACCGAATTTCATTAAAATCAGTTCAGTGGTTTAGGCGTGAAAGCGTAGCAGACAGACAGACAGACAGACAGAGTTACTTTCGCATTTATAATATTAGTAGGGATAGCTATTTAGATTCTAATACATAGTCGAACAAAGAAAAAATATACATTTTCTATGCTTCTCTTCTTGGCTTTCAAATTTGGCTTCATGGTTTTAATATTATAGAGAGATATAATTTTACGTTGAATTTATATGTTGAATTCATATCAGACGCATTTTTGATACAGAATCCAGATAAAGTAGCAATTACATAATGCTAAAATATAATAAGAGTAGTATGGCCTCAAACTTTAATACATACATAATTTATTTAGACATTTTCTTACTCATGAAGAGGCTCTTTCGTTTTAAACAACTAAATAAATATAAGAAAGATGTTTTCATCGTCTGTATGCTGTTCTTCTTAATACTATCAAGTTATCAAGTGAAAGTGAGTAAATATTGACGCTCCATTCGACCTGGAGGTCTACCGTTACTTTGACTTTCTAAGGTACCTTATACGTTGATGCAGACAATATGCTTATTATAATTTTTATATGCTAATAAATTCACCATCAAAACATAACAATCTTCACATTTAAATGAGAGGCAAATTCGATTGATTTATCTCATACGAATTGATTCATTGATTATTTTTATTCCCGCCTAATAAAACTATAATATTTATTATTTTTCTTCTATAACTTTTATATTCTACTAGCTCTCTGCCTGCAGCTTCGCCCGCGTGGAGTTTGGTTATATCGCTTTTCCACGAGAACCTTTCAAAAGTCTGGGATAAAAACTATCCTATGCTCTTTCTCAAGATCAACTCTATGTCTGTACCAAATTTCATTAAAATCAGTTCAGTGGTTTAGGCGTGAAGGCGTAACAGACAGACAGACAGAGCTACTTTCGCATTTATAATATTAGTAGGGATAACTCTTTTTTATAACACATTATATCATGCTGCATTACGGTATGGTTACGTAAAATGCAGGCGTTTCAGGTTTTGAGTAACAAATTTCCGCATTCTATAGGATACAGAAGAAATAATCCCAGTTTACGTCTATTAACATAAATGATATCTATTCTAGATTTGCATGCGCGGGCGCGTGCATATATTCAAATATTTGGAGAACATGTCCAACAAGGATACCTTGCAGCACAGAAGAGTTGATGAGACGAGACGAACAGCGAAACACACGTCATACATCAGCTCACCAAATAACCAGATAACGTCTGGTAACGCGACCATTGACTGTTTGAGACACAAGCCTAGACACGTTGTGGATAGTGGGTACTGCACTGACGGAGTAGAGAAGAGATGGTCCAATGATGGTAACATTCATAATAGATATAAAATACTTTTAAAATTCCCTGTGACGCTGTCAAAGACATTAGTACTGACAGCTAATGTCAAGTCGAAACTAATAAGCGAAAAATGATTAAATAGAGTTTTGAAAAAAGAACACAGTTCTATGCAATCTGTTTTATATGAAAGTCGTATGATTCTGTGTATAAATAAAATGAAATGCAATTTTTGTTTTGTAAATTTTCTGTCGAAACTTAATTGGAATGGACTTTTGTATTCTATGAAGTTAGTTAATTACCAAAACATAACAAACATTTTCGACCTCTACGATTCTACGATCATAAAAAAATATATATTATTAAGGCTTTTTAAATTTATATTTTTAACTATATATAAATATAGTTAAAAATATAAATTTAATATCAAGTTTTATAAACTTCGAAATTTCAAATTATTCTAATTAACTAAGCAACGAAACGACAACTCTTTTCGATAGAATTTCTATTAAAAACTAAAAATAATAATATTTCACGATGGTTTAAATTCCGCCATACATTTTAAAAGCGTAACTATAAACCGTCATCTGTGGTAAAATGAGGTCAAAAGTACTCGTAAAAAAATTCTGCTTCACAATGATTTAAATGTCCTTGAATAATATGTTGAAGTCATAAATCATATCAAATTTAGTTAGATCTTCATATCAAATGTATGACATATAATTCAATATAAAAACAAATACCTAGTAATACAAAGAAACATCGACTAAAGAACCAAAACAACATACCTTTTTTATTAGATCAACCTGCCATCAGATTCATAATAGCAATATCCAATTTTCACTTATAATAGATTGTATTGTGCTCATTTAACATCATGATTGTATCATATTCCAGGTGGCTGTGAGACGGGCGGAGGCTCTGGTCGCTCCACACCCAGTACCCCGTCCACGTTGTCCCCGGCCACGCTGTCCAGGGCGCAGTCCCTCTCCAGCGAGTCCCCCCTCGCACCACTAACACCCGTCCTCACCGGGTATGTATTGATAATTGTTTTATTATTACGACGCGTGCTGTAGAAAGCTCGAGAATGTTCTAGAAGGTTCGAGAATGTTCTAGAAGGTTAAAGAATGTTCTAGAAGGTTCGAGAATGTTCTAAAAGATACCAGAATGATCTAGAAGATCGTAGAATGTTCTAAGAGATTCCAGAATATTCGAAAACGTTCTGGAACATTCTGTTTTTTGTACGTACATCGAACGATGTTCTGGAAGGTACGATAGTCGGTGCCAGACTTCTAGAACATTCGACATCCTACTAGAATTGCGCGAACTAACAAATTTAGAATTCTGAGGGTTTTTAGTTGTAGATTGTTTGATAATTGGGTTAGTATTAGAAATATAAACCGTTCTTCAAGGGGTAAATAAATATATTTTTATGATTGTGTTAGAAAAGGTTTTTCGAAGACATATATGCTCAAGGTTAGAACTACAAATTAGTGACCCTTCTACCTGAATGCATGTACACAATGACGAAGGAAGAAAGTAGAATGTCATTTAAAATATTTATACATGACAAATATAATAAGTGGTAGATTAGAAATACCAACCGTTTAGAATAAACGTTACTTTGTATAAATAAATATATATTTGTATTTTAGATTTACGACAAACAGACTAAACATAAGCTATATTTGAAGTTGCAGATTATATACTTTTTATACTGTGGTATAAAAGTTTGACTAAAATATTAAAATTCAAATATAGAAAATCTTACTTATTTATTTTGCTCATATTTTACATATATATTTTTTTAAATATGCATTTTCAGTAATATGCTTTTCATAATAGTATTTTATGATCTTCCTAATGAATAGCTCTTTTAAAGACATCATTGGGTGTTTAATTACTTCAATATTTAAACAAATATCTATTTAAATATACATTTATGATACTTACAAAGCGTTACAAAGTTGTCCTATTATTCTTCACTGCTTATATATATTATTTTAAACAGTTTTATTCTTAACTTTGCAGCGCTTAGTCTTACATCTTGTAGTATAACAATGCTCATATATATTTTTATTTCCCGCGACAGCGGATACAGAGGTAATGAACAGTTTGGCTCGTATCACGATCATCCATTCCCCTATTAACCCCGGTGTTGTCCCTTTCAGCGTCCGTATATCACCCGATGGGAATGTATCCGGCGAGGATAAGAGTAAATTAGCTCATCAACAAACATACAGGTACACTCATGGGGCATTATATGTATAATGGTCATTGATCCGCTTGCTGTATTATAGACATGCTTCATCTGTATTGATAATATTTGTATATATGTTCGCACGTATCCCGGGAATGTTCTGTGTATAACTGTGTTGTATGTAATCGCTTTCAGCTATAACAAGACGCCGGCTCACGTATGATAATGGATATTCGTAGATATATACTAACTACTAATGAATTGTGTTGTCAATTAATTTTTGCTATGATATAAGTAAATTAAATTAAATTAAATTAAAAATAATATTTTTGTAGAACGCTGTATGACGCTTACGCTATTTGATATAGTAAAGTAAATTTGAATTATTAAAAAATAGACGCCGACTTCAAAACTAACGATTAAAAAAGAAAACAACTGAATTGTGCCATGGAAAAATAATTAAGAATTGTATATACATATTAGGTATTTTTCATTACAAGTACTGTATTAATATCAAGCATAACATAAATTCGAAGATATGAAACCATCGAAATTGATCGATATTATATTAAGATTCAGAGTATTACACCAGAAAATCGGAATTAAATTCAAAATTGTATATATAATTTTTTTTTGAAGTCGGTTGAAACTACTATGTACATTCTGTACCTAACAATTTCCCTCCCGATATTAATATCTCAGGTTATGTGATGTTTATTAATTCATATGTTCATATTGCAGACAATACAAAGAAGCCTTAAGACAGCAGCGTCAACAGGACGTGTACCGGCCCCGCACTGACCAGCCCTCCCCCGAGCTCGACTCCCCACAAACACAAAGCCCGGTCCACTTCCAGAAATCCCCACACTCCCCCATCAACGGATACAGTAACGTATCACCATATAACAGATCTCTATCCAACAATTCCTCCCCAAACACACCAAATGTTCCAAACAGCCCCAGCTCCCCCGTCCTACATTCGACCCCGAGGAGGCTAGCCCAAAACGGCAACACCGACAAAGAAGAAACAAAACGACCTGTCCAAAAAGTCGTCCCGTCACGTAACGTTAACAAAATGTACACATCCGTCAACGGTAATATAGATTACACGAAATTGAACGGCGACCTGTACACTAAGCCGACGTCTCCGACCAAATCACCGACCAGTAGTCTAGGATATAATAGTATTAAATCGAATATACCGAGACAGAACGGCGACGCTAAGCTTTTTACAACAGCGGTGTCGTATTTGAAAGGTGCTGGAAATAAACCGAGCGGGAAAATAGCTTGGAACAAAGAAACGGCGCCCGAGAAACTCAGCTTCACTATGAAGAGGGAGTTTGATAAACAGAAGGAGGAAACGGAGTTATTGCAGCAACTTAGAACGGTAAATACTCTCATGTTCGTTGTTTGTTCTTGGTTTATTAAGATGTTTGAATATAACTGTTGATTACTAAGTAAAGTTACACGAAGATATGATTGATTGTTATAACTAGGGCCCGAATTAATATGTTAATACATATTTTTAATTTACGCGATTTTCGGTCTAGAATGTGTTTTTTGCATGTATTATCATATTTAGACTATGAAAAACCAACTATTATTTTCCATATTTTACCATATTTCAAAGTTAAGTCCATATTTTACAAGAAAATGTCACAATCATCCATATACAATTCACAAAAATACATAAAATTTACGTTTCCGCCACTGATGTTTTGGATAAAAATAAAGGATTTAATACGCTAAAAAAATTAACAAAATTCTGTGCGAAAGATTCGAGGGCTGTAGACATGGCTTACACTATTACTGAATTAAGCATGTTTAAGAATGCACCCATCACGTCATGTGATTTGAGATGAGACCAGTCAGCAGAGGTAATGTTATATGTCGACCAAATGGTCGGTTTTCATTTTGATAATTTAAAGAAGCACGTCATTGTGTATTGCAACCAATTTGATAAGGCTAGTGTAATGGAAGTTGAATAAAACTGTTATTTTTTGTTGAAATAAATATTTCGCTACTTTTTCTTTGTTTTTTAAATGTAACTTAACGATGTACGTCACAAGTGACCCTTTTCTTATAGTAAAACAATGTTTAATTATAAAAGTATTTAATTTTATACTCCATATTTTTGATTTTTTGTCCATATTTTAGATTTTTTAATACATATTCATCCGGGCCCTAGTTATAACATTAGGACATCATCAACTAAAACATGCACTTAAACGACGGCCTATAATGAAAAAATTAGTGTTTCAAAAAATATTAGCACATAATCGATGTCAAATTAGCATTTTACGAAAAATATCTTTACATAAGAAGAAATAAACCTTTTACTTTAAAAGTAATCATTAAATTTTAAAACTATGGTATATAAATGAGGCGATATGTTTACCAGGTGATTTGCTTTGATAAAAATAACCCTGAATTCCATTATAATATTTTCATTCCATCTAATTATCTCAATAAGCATTTATAACTGAAGTAGCTATGCCCAGCGGTGTTACCCGCGGATTTCCGGGATGTAAAGTAACCTATGTGTTATTCCTGGACGTCAGCTTCCTGTATACAAAATTTTATCAAAATCGGTTCAGCTGTTTGAGCGTGAAGAAGTAACAAACATACACACACACTTACAAACTTTCGCAATAATAATATTAGTAGGATAATATAGTATCATAAAATCTGCATTCTCCACTATTGACAATACATTCAATAATGATCCTTATGCCCTAGATAATAGAGTCCCGGCTGAAGATGTCTCTCCCCGAGCAGCTGGCGCCGGTGTTATCTGATGGGGTGGTGTTGTGTCACCTCGCCAACCACGTGCGTCCGCGGGCCGTCGCCTCAGTACATGTACCCTCGCCCGCACAGGTATGAACATATAGAAAATTATATGCTGTAGGTAGTTTAATGTCAATTGAGATAAATAAGAAATGAAACTTGTGTGATGTATTTGAAGGTATATTTTTTCCTCGCCTTGCAACAACTGGCCAAAAAATTATATGTACATAGAATTTAAAATATATATTGAATGACTGAAATTTATTGAAGGTTCGAAAGGAAATGGTAAATCAAATAAATACTAAACTGTCCTTGATTTCCAAAGAATCTATACTGTTCTGGACACTGTAATATTTATTATACAATGGTTTATGTGAGTCTCTGATACATATGTTTTTTCACAGCCAAAGTTAACAATGGCAAGGTGCAGGCGGAATGTCGACAATTTCTTGGAGGCCTGTCGAAGAATCGGCGTTGAGGAAGTGAGTACTTTAATATTTTAATCTCTTTCCTATCATTACACATCTGTTTATTCTATTATATTTATGATTTATTACTTTTGTACCTCTTCATGTAACCGTAAATCAGCTTCTATTGCTTGTGATTCGCGTAAAGTTCTAGGCACGGTATCTTTTAACGTTAAAAATTTTGTGCGTATTTCGGGAGTAAATTTTGAGTTGCAGGGTTAGATATCCTTTCGCGGGCGAATATTATATGAAACTAAGAGACGGGTGGCGTGTGTTCCAGGAGGATATCTGCTCGCCAGAGGACATTGGTGACGAAACCAGCATACGACCTCTCGCGGTCACAGTCCAAGCTCTACTGGCACACGCCACGCGCTCGCCAAAGGATATCCAACCCAACGACCAATCAACAACGGAACTGGAACCTGTGACAAATCAGAGCCCGGAACCAGAAGAGTTTTCCACCAATCACAACCAAGTATTCCACAGCATTGAACTAGACTACAGACAACATAGATACAGCGAAGACAGGTATATAAGCAACTTCAATTGCAACCAGAATTACACATTCGACGAGTCAGAAGAATTTCAACTCAACTGTGAGAACAATAACGCCGAAACTCAGAATGTCTATACGCCAGTTTATAATAATGAGCTGAGAATTAGAGGACCTTATTATCAGAAGAATAAGATTCAATTCGTGACGCCGTTCTGTAAAGGTGATGGTGTATTGAAGAGTGATAATTTTGAAATATATGATACTGATGAAGTAGATTTTCCTATGGATTTGATCAGCGAGGAAGTAGATTCAAACAGATATGACAGAGAGAGGATGAATCTCGATTTACAATCCAATTATACTGTGAATACAAAGATACAAACTGAATCTGCAAAGGATAGAGAAAATAGGATCTTCTACACTTGTCTATGTATTGGAAGCTTTTTGGCATCGACGATTTTCCTCATTCTATATCCTTTATAAATTAATTCATTAAATATAAACTGTGACCTCTTTATAACACTGTAGTAAGTAGATTATACACTATGGCTGCTATATGAATTTTTTAACATAAAGAAAATTAACAATGCCTTATTGTAACAGTGAAACTGTGATTGGAAATATAGAGGCTGTAAAGAGGTGGCAAACTGCATTTTATGAAATTTCCATAATTACTTGACACTTCTAAACTTTAGTAACTCTGTTCGTACAATCTCACGCACAAATATCTATAGCTCTGAATAATCTTTATACTTCAATATGAAATATCTAATAAACTTTATAAAATGCAGTTTGACATCAAATGTTGAGACTGATGTGAAATTGATAGTATTGATGGAACAAAATAATTTCAAACTATTTTCATGATGTTTTACCGGAATTGATAATGATATTGAATTTTTAAACATTCTTAATATTACTTTCATAATTATTTGAGGACCAAGAATCGTTTTATGTATTGTAGTATGATGCATTCAGTACTTCAATACTATAAATATTGATTTAAATATTTTTTCTTATAGAATGTTTCAAATTAATTTGTTTGTATTTTTGAGGGCTCTTCTTTTGATTAAGATATGTTTTGTTTGATCCTATTTTTTATTAGATCTCAGCTTTGCAGAATATTTTTTATGCATATTTGTAGTTTTTTTTTTTGTAAATATTTTTGCTGATGTTATTTGATTAATATATGGTGTTGATGATTTGAGAACATGTAATGAAACATTACTTAATTATCTAGTCTTCCTGCAATGATACGAACATTGTCCGTACCTCAAACTATGTTTTTGTCATATAAATATAGTAAGCACTACTAAAATATAGCACTCATACTAATATAAAACTTTTAAAAGTAAATAGAATTTCAGAATTTTAATATCCATTCCAGAATATAACAGATTATCAATATTGTGTGAAATGATAATAAGAACAGAATTAAAATATATGAATATTTGTGAGTTTGCACTTTGTAGGTTTATGAGAATAAGTAAGTTAAGTATTTCTTATGAGATAAGAATAAAAAAATGTATGCCTTAATCGAAACATCATATCGTTATTGTAGTTTAAGAGCAAGCTTGAGGTTATTTGGGATCTTTGTTGGCCGTATGTCTTCATACTGATGTATCTTAATTATAAAATTTTAAATTGCATGTAGTTCAATGATATAGGATTTTCATATATATATATATATATATATATATATATATATATATATATATATATATATATATATATATATATATCTCTTTGAAATATGTAGTATTTTAGATTAGCTAGTAGTTCTTTTGAGGCTTTTTTCGGTAATTAATGAGATACTAAAAGACAAATTGGATAAATATAACAATTTAATTATACTGCCAATGTAATAAGTGTTGCCAACTTGAATAACTCACTAACAGATGATGCATTTATATAAAAATAAAGTTATGACGTCACTCGACGAATATAATAGCGTTTTTTTAAATTTAATATTTGAAGTATAAATTTAACTTTTTGAAATAATATTTTTGATTCTTTTCTATTAATTAATAATTAATTCGTCAAGTTATTGTCAATGTACTAATCTTAATTATAATACAAATATGAGCATTCCAAAGATGTGTTTATATTAAAGACTGTAATTTCAAATGCTTTTATAAACTCGATTGTATTTTTTATGCTATGTTAAAAAGACGTGTTTTTTGTATTGCAAATAGTTCACTGCAAAAAGTTTTGTTTAATTTTTTGGGTATATATTGGTGTAAGGGTTATTATGATATCACATTATCTTTACGCCCGTCTTTCGGTGTATTCATTATTTTTGAGCTTTAAATTCCTAAGTACAATATATATGTAAAGTAAGACATAGATTAATATATAATTTATTTATGAATATAATATATTTAATGCTTGTGGTGCTTGGGTATGTTTTACGTCTGGTTTTCGTTACGTCAGAGGCTAAATTACGACTGATTATAAAAAGACAATTCTCACCGCTGGACGGCCATGACGTTCTCGGCTTTGCTTTCTTGCCACCATTAATGAGATTTCCAATTCTGCCATAGGATTCCATTAAAATTTAAGTATTATATTATCGGTTGATTCATTCATTCATTCATTCATAATTTTGTTTGAAATGTTTTTTTTATTATTTCCACCGTGTGATTGTTTGTTGGTGATATTTTTGCGTACGTGTTTCTCGGTTTTCGGATGAATAATTTCACGATGTACTTTTTGTATGTACTTACGATGTTTTATCTCTAATTTAAATAAAATTCTTATTGGCATTTGATTTGTTTTATTTTACATTAATGTTAATGCACATGTCGAATAAAATAATAATTTAATGAAATTTTATTATTAGTAGATATTTTTTTTTCATGTAATTTTAATTATTATTCTTATTTCTTCTAGAAACTCATGTGCTGTGCAGCGGATGTTCTCGAGGGTAAAGGGACAGTTCAAGTGGCTATAACAGTAACGGAATTGCTTAGACGACACGCAGTCATCAGAGAACAAACCCCGACCCCCACACACACACCAACATTAACCCCAACCCCCACTCCAACACCTACTCCAACCCCCACTCCCACTCCCGCCACCTAGCGCCCAAAACTAGCAGTCGCGCCTCAGTCCACTTTATCCTTATAGTGTGGACTATAGGCCGTGGACTTCTGTTCTGGGCTATTCAATATGACTTCTTGGAATGATTACATTGCAATGTATTCTTCAATATATATTTTCACGTCAGGAATGAAATCAAAGACTAGGATATACTAAGGCTTGGTTTTAATTATTGTATGACGTATTTAATGTACGAAGGATGAAAGGACCAACGTTTAAGGACCATGAAGGTTTTAATGCAAGTAAATGCTAAAGTTGTGTCGTTTTAACATTGACATATATCATTTTGATGATATTTAAATTGGTCGGAGTCCATATATTTCCTAGTCATTAGGTATCTAACCTTAATGAACTTTAGGACTATGGTTCAATGCAGTGAGATAATTGATATTGTTTTTCTTTATCAGCAACACATTCAGTAAAGAACAAACCAAATAAACTACATCGCTGCCATATTACAGTACTTTGTAATGGTCTATATATGTATTGAGTTTTAATTGGTTTAAATATGTATAAGAGATGATGTAATTTTGTCCAAATATGGTCGAATCGTCCGATTTTATTACGAAAAAGCGTGAATTGGATTTCTTTGGAGTAAGTATTCCGATAGAGTAATTTTGTTCTATGCACTTAAAATTAAGTTTAGGTCACTCGCGTCTCAAACTCTTACACGCACATTTGAATTAAATAAATTTTGATATTATATAATTAGTGACCTTGATATAACGGCTAAGGAATGTCTCGCAAAATGTTATCTTCGAGACTTATCGAGACTTTCGGGAATTCGGAATATACGGTATTGTATGAATCTCGATATATTAAAAACGTTTTCATTGGTCTATAATTTGGCCGTAGAATAATTAGAATTAGTCAATGTTTTACGTAGGTATTTTGAAGTATGGATGACATAGATGTCACAATATTGAGAATAGAGAAATGACGTCACAATACTCAGTATCAAGTACTAGTCAGCGTAGTTTTTTTCCAAAATCACATACTACTTGATAGATATCAACGAGCTTATAAACCATTAATAGACCACCGTCAGTGCTTTACACTTATCACGAATTTAATATTGAAATGAATTTTTTGGTGATTTTACATTCATGTAGTATATCCTTATAGAAACGTCACGTATTCATGGATAAGATTAGATTAATGAAGTCAATACGGACCATCTCTGTGCAGACGCACAACGCCATTTACACGCTTTAATTCGTGCTAATATAAGATTTCTTAGAGAATTTTTGTCAAATTCATAAATTCTAATTCGCTTCAATGTAATAAGCTATTGTTATAGTCTTCAAATCGTTTGCTTTTATTTTAAAAAATCTCTAGTTAAATGACAATATTAAAACAAAATTTTGACTCTGTCATTAGTTTCTTTTCAAATAAATTCCTTCCAGTGATATTCCATAATTAATTCTGTAGCTTGAAAATTTTTCGTTATTATTTCTAACGCTTAGTACCCTGAGATTCGCTAAATAAATTTAAAGACTGATATTTCAAAGTTAAATCCTTGATATTAGGAACGAAAGTGCCATTACTCGAGCAATTTACATAGCTTTGAGGACCTTGCTTAATACTTATTACGTATTTATACGTATAACTTTATTTCCTCATCATGACATTAACAAAAATAATTTAGTTTCTGTGTTTTATGCCTGGGCTGTGTTTATAAATGTAGGATAGAAGTTTCTATACAAAAATAGAAGAAACTAACATCTTCAATGTTATAATTATATGGACTTATTTCGTATTGCATATAATGAATTAGCTATGAGTTATAGTTTTTCTCAGCCGGCTCGTTAATAGAATTACAGCTATGACCCATTGATGAAATCAAAATTTACATTTATATGAGATAATGTGGAACATTGAAACACAAACTGTTCCTATGATTTTATAACAAGAATCAATACTTTCCAGTTATATCATTGTTTACAAGAAAATATTATCAGTCGTCCAATCTTCATGAATACTTCGAATGATCTTTGGTGAAATGTTTGAAAATTTAATTAACTTTAACAACACTTATATTGAAAGTAATAATGAAATGTATTTCATTGTGAAGTTTTATGAAACAATAATTGTAAATATTTTTTGTCTTAAGTTGTAATGCTCTCAAATTTTTTTCTTTACCACCGAATCTATATTTAAATTTCTAAAATACTCAAACTTTATATAAAAATTAATAAAATTTTATTCTCGTCATTATATGTATTTGTAGTCATATCTTCAATCACTTGAGCTATATATTTTTTTTCATATAAATGTGATTATATTTTTAGTTTTTTTTTTTTATTTATTTTATTTGAACGCAATTTATGATTTCTGATGTCTTACAATTGTTACCACAGAATATATTGTATTACTTTGGTTTATTTTGAATTACATGAAAAAAAAGTTTTTGTATTTGCTTAAAATGTCGGTTGTACTTAATGATTCATATTGTATTTCTCTCATATATTTTAGTTTTAATTATGTACATTGTAATTTGTATTACGTATAGATTCAAATAGTTTAGTTGATATTTTATTAATTGGTTCGTGTATAAAGTAGGTAGGTGAACTGAGAGTTGTATCGAGTCTTTGCCCCGTTCAAAGATATTGTGCCAAAGACTTATGGTTGAGGTTATTTTTATGTAAAATATTAAAAATTCTGTTTATCGCACTGGTCTCCTAGCATAAGTATGATGTAGCAATATCTTTAGTGCCCACGTGTTTATATGTAGATACAAATAAAAGTATACTTATACATTTTCGAAAATCGTGTATCATTTGACACTACCCACCTAATGTCATTATTGACGCTTGAACGAGAGAATTGCCATATAAAAAAAATATATATTTACAATTTTAATTTAATCTATTTAAGACAAAACACTATTAATGGCAACAAAACTGATAACAAATTAAATTATGTACAATAATTAAAGTCTGCGCTTCAGAACATTGGACGTATGACAGAAGGTATCTTAAACATTTATTATGCAACAGGGCTCGCTAATGACATCCACAGCCTTACAACTATCATCGGAAGTATTGAAAACATAACTAAAACGTATTTATCAAAAGATGCATGTAATGCAACATTATACGCGGCGTCGCAGGCGGGGCGCTGTAATCGTTGGAAGCTGACTAGCGACTTACCGACCACGCCTCCCGCTATAAGCAATTAAACTGGCGCCAGATGGGATTTTCTATTAATTTTGTTATATGTAATCGAGATTTTGATATCAGTAAGTATTCTAACGCGACATTTTAGCTCTCCACCCTAGAATATAGATAATGACTGACATTGGAAAGTTAGACTTGAGTCGTAATTATCAAGTCCGTGCCATTCGGTGCATTCGTAAGAATCGAACAATATCTATCGTATCGATCAAAAAGATTGATTCAACTGATAATTCAGAAGCTACTTCCAAAACGTATAATGTATTCGAGACATTTGATTAGCCTCATCAAAAGCTTGTAAAGGAAACACCGCGTTACTAAAATGGAACAATCGCTTCATTCACAATCAAACACAAAAAGCATAGCATCAACTATTGTTCGGGAACCGGCTTTCTACGATTATTTACTTTTCGAAAATCATCGCCCTTGTTTACAAGTAATTAATTAAACACAATGAGGCTCAGCTCTGTTTAGTTTAGTTTTTATTTCCTACCGTGACGTGAAGATTTCTGATAGGGTAGGTAGGTATGTAAGTATTTTGGTAAATCGACCGGAAAATTGCTTATTTCTATATGGGGTTGTGAAGCTATTCACAATTTTATGGGCTCAGTAATTATTTTTCGTCCAATGTATTTTTTTATGAGTGTCGTGTAACTAGCTATATATCTAGATCGTTTTCAGAAATTTATTTTATTGTTGTGTTCTTAATCAGATCTCATAACACGAATCTATTAAAGTCACTTCTGTTATTTACCACCTATGTATAATCTAGTTATAATTCCATTCCGCCTACTTGAATTGCTTTTTGAAATAGTTTACGGTTAATAAATTTTTAGCAATATATGAACGTACTTACATTAAGTTATTCGCTGCGGGATTTCGTTATCTTCATATAACTCGGGGTTTTATTCAAGCATAAAGTTTTGATTACTTCCTTACTCAATCGTAACTATATTTCAAATTATAAAATTGAATTTAATTACCGTTGATTGATTCATCAATTAAGTAAAAGGTTTATCAGTTATTTAGCTAAATACATAACACATTTAACATTTTGTCTTTGCAATTGTAGAAATAATACACTATAGGTGCTTAATCCATGTGTTATTTCTCATTTTAATATTTATTTAGGTTTATTTATCCAATGGAAGTTCTGTCTTTTAAATCTTAAATAGTTTAACCATTTTATTTAAAAATTTTCGGTCTGGTTAAAATAACACCCTGTTTAAGGAAAAAAACTATGATTTTGAAATGATAATTTCATTACTATCGTTGTTTGTAAATGAAAAGGTGTGTAGATCTTAAAAGAAGAGGATTTGAACACTCGTGTACTCAGCGTGACTTCGGTCCAGAGAGGTGATGTTCACGCGTGGGATGTAATATTTTAGGTTTAACACTATTTTCAATTATGTCCATAATAACACTACACGTAATGAGAATACATACATTGATATGACGACTTGTTACGGCAGTCCAAATGAACCAGTATTAAGTTTTGTGACTTTAATTTTATTAAGGTGTACTTACTTTATATTTATTAATTTAGTGATCATTTGCTCCATTTTTTTTATTCACGTACTTGTATATTACATCATGTGAGATTTTCAATAACAAATATAAAAATATACAAATTATTAAATCTTTTACTTAATTTCAAAATATCCTGTGACGACAAATTTATATAGGCCTGGAAACACGCTAGTCAATTGACATTACAACTTGACTATAGGTAACTGTAACCAATCGGACCTGTAAGAGCTTTAATCACTTGCACCTATAGAACATCTCAATACCCAAAATCGTTGA